ACGGCGCGTACCTTTCAGAGTTCTCGAAGCCCCCTTTTCGGGGCCTTGTTGACTTTGGAAGCTGAATGGGGTTCGCCGGGGCCGGGTTTTGGGCGCGTGTTATAAGATTCGCAGAGGGTTTCGAAGTTTGCGAATTTTAAATTTTCAGAAATGGACTCTCACATGAATTTCCGAGAGCCTATAATCCAGGGTCTTCAGTCGAAAAAGTAATGGTCAACAAGCAAATGCAAATCACCCCTCCAGATCCACTGCAAACCGCCTTGGAATCGGTCGTGCAGCAAAATCCGGCCGCGAGCGCGTTTCTGGTGTGTCGCATCAGCAGTTGTGCTTCTGTACTCCGGAATGAAGGCGACGACAGCGCTAGCACGACCGTCCAGATTGCAGACGGCATGGGCGTCCCGACCGGCACACTGGCGTTTTTTGAAAAACACGAACATGCGGTGAGAAATTCGCGTGGTGGAGTCCTTGCCTCGGCGATCTGGATACCATATTGTCCTCCCGAGGACTTGGCAGAAGTGTCGTCCCACCAAGGCGAAAGAGGGACACGCAAACAAGCGGAAGAACACATCGGCTATAGAAGCGCCTACAACCTTGTTCAGCACCAGTGCTGCCCCCTGCAAGAAGAGCTAACGCGACAATTTCACGAGGTGGCGATTCGCGGCTCTACGACCACCTCTTCGGCGAAAAACACTGCAGCTGTCCAGAAAAACAAGAAGTTCTTTACTGTCTCACTTTGCGAAGCGTTTGATTTCCAGTCAAACCGCTGGGAGCGGAAGATGCTGGTCTTTTTCAACACAACAGCTGCAACGAGTAAAACAACGCGAAATTCAAGAACCACTCAGGAACAAGATCAGCAGCAACTATCTGGTATTTTTCTCCGCGACTTCTGCGAAAACTTGGTAACGGAGTGCGTCAAGTGCGCCAGCAGCGGACCCAGGAGGAGGCGGAACTGCTACGACAAGATCAAGATGGGTCCCTGCATAGCTGCACCAGGGAGGGGACTTCTAGCGCAGCAACAGGGAAAACAGGAAGCTCCGAGACGAGTTGGGCATGTTGGAGTTGACAACATGATGCAAAAGAAGCTGCACCTCCAGAACATGAACAAAAAGAATAGGAAAAAGAAAATTTCTAACCGCGCCTCAGACCTTCGTGATGGTCATTTCTACAGCGACTTTCTGAACTACTTGTCGGATGCTGAAGAACAGCAGCAGCAGAACCTAGACGATGATCATGATGTTGATGTTCCCGCCCGCACGGCCGGTGGTCCGTTGCATCATGTTAATGAGTGCGAGGAGGAGGACAGGACGAGAAATGCAAAGTCGCAGACCACTTTTGGTGACCCAACGCTGGTCACACCGTTATCCACACCGAAATTGATGTCGACGTGTAGTTCTGCGATTTCCTCGGAAGCGAGTACTTGCGTGCTCGTGCGTTCGGCGGATCTGGTTGACATTGAGAACGGGGTCGAGGCGGAAAAATTGGAGAAAACTACGCATGTGAAAAGGAAGGCGAACTACACGGCACCAAGCTTCGCAAATACACCTTCTACCCACGACTTGCCTGCTACCAAAAACTCAGGAGTCACGAAGGCTGCGTCGACGAATGCGATGATCGTTCTCTTGAGCATGACCCACTTTGGCTCAACAGCGGGAGCACCGACTTCCTGTGCGCGGAAAATAAATCAAGCGGGCCCTGAGCATGAACGCGATAATCAGCAAGTAGAAATGAATGAAGAGCCAATCTCAACAAAACCGTTTGAGATTATCACCGATCTTGAGGCGGTGTTCGCGGAAAAGGAGTCGATCGCGGTGCTGCACTGGCTGGCCAACCGTCGTGCGGCGGGAGAAGTGCAGCAGGGTACGTCGGACCCGGGGGAGGATGATGTCGATGAAGATTTGTCGAGATTACGAGATGTTGTGCTAAAATCTTCACTCTCATCAACATCCGATGAGGAGCTCGACCAGGCGGGTACGAGAGAAATAAACCAAAATCATCAAAAATACTTGTACATGTTTCAGAAGGGTAAACAGTTGCCGTTTGCAATCCGGACGACGTCATCAGTTTTTGCTTGCAACAATTCGAATAGGAGGAGTTTGGTCACAGCGGTCCGTATTGCTTTCAAATGCTGAATTGATATTAACTTCCTCCACGGGGCATTGAAATCAAGATTGTATCATGGTCGATTTATTTTATCGACGTGGACCGAACTAGCTAAGATTTTTCAAGAAATGAACAAACGGTTGTATTACTGAATTACTGAGAACAAGATGTGCATTTCTTCTTTATCTTCTCACGAGCCCCGTACCAGGAGCAGATAATATTCTAAATTTGTTTTTTTCAATAAAGAAGGTTTTTGCTGACATGATAACCATAAATCCATACCATTGACTTTGTCCTGCTCAATGGGGCAATTATTACGAGTCAGCTTTTTGTTTTTCTTTTCCATCGAAATCGTTGAAAGCGAACAGGAGCAGAATTGACATAAACAGCAGGAGCCATTTTGTCGTGTAGTACAAACCATTCGCTATGAATTTTTGAAAACCTGGAGGAACACCGAAGCCCCGGCATTGGTGCCTGTCGGTGCCGTAGTGGGACAGATGTCTGTCCGGCGCACGTCGCATGTCGTATTGCAGCTGTGAAGAATGATCTGGTTTTTAAAATCGGTTCGTATCATGCGCATGACGTTATAATGATCCGTAGTCCTGTATCTGTATTTCTTGCGCAAGGAATTCGTTTCCCATAAAATTGTCGTTGTCCTCTTGTTGTCGTTCCGCACTCTTGTTGTAATCGATATCAACATCAAGTGTTTCGGTTTAATCTTTAGGAGCTTTCTTTTTCTAACTGAAAAATCGTGCAACGTACGACAAGAAAAGTAGTACAGCTGTTGGACTACCCACGTACAGCTGTTGAAGGAACGTCCATCTACAACAAGAATCGTCGTACCATCGTGAAACAGAATAAATGTTGCAATTTCATCGTTTGCAAAAAGAAAAAGTCGGTTATAATTCTGTCATCGTCTCATGTTCGAAAGGCAGCAGCTTCACCGACATTCCAACAAAAACTCTGTCAGGCCCCATTTTGTACCCCATAGTGGTCAACTGTCTACCCATTTCTCGCTTCGCTCAAGAAGTTGTCGCATCAATATCAATTTGTTCAAAAGTAGAAATTAATATACACCCCTTTTTATTTCCCACAGCCACACCGACATCCGGCAACGTAAGTAGTAGCAGGAGTAGCTGGCATTCCAGTCTGCCCCCAAGAAAGTTCTTCTACTTACACCTTCCCCAGACTAGCTGCATTGGCTTTATTCTCGCTGGATTTTTGCAAATAACACACAGAACAACAGGAACAACAATGAATGTCTTCGCATTCATCAACATGATCGTTCGTCGTTGCCGCGACGCCGGCACTACTGGGGCGGCTGGATGGTCGTAGTTGTTCTACTTCCTAGTCGTATTTGAGAGCGGCTTGTTCTTGCGTCGGGCAGTAGTCAGAACTACCACATCATCAACCATGGCCGACATCGTGGAAGCGGCTGAGCGGGAGGAGGTGACGCTCAAACTGCAGATGGTGGTCCGGCTGAAGCGCGCGCGTGCCGAGATGAAGAAGCGCAAGGAGCAGCGGGAAGCGGCGACGAAGCTGCAGTCGATGCAGCGCGGGAAGCAGGCGCGGGCGGAGGTGAATAAACTGAAGGACGACAAAAAGCTCCACGAAGACATGACGCAAGCGGCCATCAAGATCCAATCCCACCGGCGCGCGCAGCTGGCCCGGAGAAAGTCGGGGGACTACCGGACGGATGCGAAGATAGACGCGGTGTTGTTCGCTTTAAACCCCTTGAATTTGTTTGCGAAAAAGAAGGAGCTGGCGCTCGCGTACTACGGCAAGACGAAACAGGACCAGGAAAACGCCGCACTGAAGATCCAATCCATACAACGCGGAAAGCAGGCTCGCGCGGAGGTAGACGCCCTGCGCGAGGCCAAGGAGCAGGACGCGGCCGCGAGCAAGATCCAGGCGGGCTACCGGCAGAAGCAGGCGAGAGAACAGGTGGACGCGATGCGCGCGGAGAAGGAGGAGCAGGAGGGCGCGGCGACGCTGATCCAGTCCAACTGGCGGGGGCGGCAGGACCGGGAGAGCCAGCGTATCGCGGCAGAGCAAGACGCAGCCGCCACCTCAATTCAGGCGGCCTACCGTGGAAAGCAGGCGCGGAAGAATAGAGGTGTGGCAGAGGGGGGGTTGGTGGAGGACGAGGATCTGACGCTGGCCTCCGGCATGTCCGGCGCGTCCACGGAATATTGGCTGGAAATGACGGACGACGGGGGCTCGCAGATCTACAGGCCCCGCGGGGAGGGCGAGGCCGACGAGCGAAACGAGTCCATGTTTGAGGCTATCGTCGCGCGCGCCAGCGAGTACGCGGTGTTCGCTCAGAGTTTATTTCCCGACGAACACGAGCTGGGTGTGCATATTCTGTATGCCATACAAATTTACTACCGTTCACTGACAGAAGGTTATGCATATATCGCTCGGACGAGGACATGGGCTGGAAGACAGCGGTTGTCATCGAGAATCAGGCAGAAAACAACGTTTACATGAGTCTTTGTCTTGTCATCCGAGGTCAGCATTTCCAGTTGTAGATACTCATACGTCGCGTACGGTATTAAATTTCGTCTTGATACGCAGATTGAAGAGAAGATGAAAGACGCCAACCCGCTGCTAATCAAGCCGACCGAGGAGCCGGAAGTCCCCGACGAGGAGAGGGTCGCGATCGAGAACCTCCGGCGAAACAAGAAAACCCAGCGCCGGGCGAGCACGGTCACCTTTGAGCAGGACGTGAAGAAGCCTCTGCGACGGTCCGTCACTTTTGCGGAGGATACCGAGTGGGGCTTGGAGTTAGCCAAAAAGAAAGAACCAGAACCCCAACCCGTCGGGGGTTTCACCATGTACACGATGTTTTTCATCCTGCGGCTGCAATACCGGTTCCGGCAGCGACAGAAGAGGCGCACGGAGGCAATTTTGAAGTTGCAGCGAAATTTTCGCAAACTGCTGGAGACCAGGAACGCCCGGCGCAAGTGCGGGGGCTGTTGCTGGCGAAAGACGGACAAAGGGGTCTTCAAATGCTGTTGTGGCCGGTACTACTGCGGCTCTTGCCAGACCTGCTGCCCCCACTGCTGCAAGGGCGAAGCAATACCCCCGCCGCCGCCAAAGCGGAGGCGCGGCGTGTTTTGCTGTCTGCTGCAGTGCGCGTTTTGTCCCTGCACCACGGCGGCGTCCTGTTTCAAATGGTACTGCTGCTGCTGTTGCGGAACCACGTGCTTCAAGAAGAAGCGGAATTTGGCCTACGAAGACAAACAAGACGGAGAAAAATTCTTAAACGTAGCTCTCTCCGCATCCAGGCAGAAAGAGGATCCGGAAGGTTATGCCTTGCAAAAGTGTAATTATCAATATCTCGTCCTCGTACGTCGATTTGGATTTGCATGACATTGCAAAATTGGACTTCGTTGTCCCCCGTCCAACTCAGAATTGCAATTATCAAAAATTTATATAGCACTTGCCGACATCACTTCAACTTCGAGTAGGCACGAGCGTACGATTTCGATTACGATTATGTTTTTGCAATGCATAAAGGTGGGAGCACGCTGATTTCGCGCTCCTTCATTCCCATGCAGCAGAGCTCGCTGGGCCGGGCCATCTTGGAAAACCGAAAAAAGCAAAAGTCGCCGCTATTGATAGACCAAATTTACCACCAGCCAGCACGGGGGTTAGAACCGGAGAAACCCCTGAAAAGAAACTACTAAGAGCAATAGATGTCTCTTCACAATTGCTGCTCACCGGCGTTGAAAGTAGTTTCCAACCACCAGTGGTGGTGGTGATAATCTCGTCGTCGCACATACTCAAGAAAGGCCAACAAGCGCGTGTGTTTCATAGGCCCAGCTGCGCCATTTGGAAATACGACCACTTACACGTATAGTTCGAAGTATTAGACGCATTCATCTGCTGACGAGATGGCAAAAATAAACGCTTCGCGCGCGTTCTTATCTGGAACAAGATCCAAAGTGAAGTTTCTATAACTACAAACACTAAAATGCACAGCAGGTTGAGTTGAATGTTTATTTTCAGAAAGTGAAGTTGCAGTACACTGCAACCACTTCGATTGCTGCACTGTTCTTGTTTTGGCTGGTTCAGCCTTGATTTGCTGTTCGTGCGGTCCCATCAGTATCTTCATCTTCACGACACCAGCCGGCAAATCAATGGCTGTCCCGGAGGTGTCTCCGACACTGACTCCATGTATGAAAAGCATCTGTGGTTCTGGTTGTGATTGAATTCTGTGGCTTTTCGGTTTTGAAAAGGCGGTGTCCCAACTGAAGGAAATAAACCCTAGAGCTTAAGTATTCAGGAAGATGAAAACCCCTTTGCTCCAGCTGATGCACATGAGAGCGAAGAGGACATCATCACCTTGATTGAGAGACAGGAGGGAGGTATACAGCTGTTTATCACTCATCAAGATAACGGATACGATTTTCCATTCAACCAAAATGTTTGTAGCTGCAAGTGAGTGATGAAGATCCTCCGATTTAGTGATGCAAGTGTGCCGACGTCAAAGTCAAATACATTTTGTTCGAAAATAATGAGGTCGTTGCTCGTAATCTTCTTGTCTTGGTTTTGTTTCTTCTCGAGAACGAACTAGTACCCGTCTGTCGTTTTCCCGTCCGTGCCGGTCCAGACGCGTCAACTACGAACGTGGTGCCACAGCGCCGCCAAGAACGCCAAGAACACACAACAGTCGCTTATTTTCGGTCTAGCCTCGTACGTCCTGACGTCTCGGTCTACCTCCGGCGTGATTTCCTCTTCCTGAGAGTCTGGAGCAGGTGGCCGTCTACCATCCGCCCCCAAGATGAACATCACCCGCCCCGATAAAAACAACATGAAGAACGCCGGGGAGGAGCTGGACCTCTTCTACCAAAATGACTTTTATGAGGAAGACACTGGCGAAAAGAACGGCGCAGATAATCCTACCCAAACGCAGCGGGACGAAGACGTCCAGGCCAACCGCTTCGAGATTGGCACCCCGGCCCCGAGTGCACGGGTAGATCGAACGTCGGACGATGTTCAGCGCGACCACTACACGCCGGGGAGCTATTTGCAGATGTCGGCAAACAGTGTTGCCACTTCGTCGGCAGAGTACTTCAGCATTGCTTCGGCCAGGGGCGAGGGGACACAAGGTCTGCCGGTGGAGTCCTTCGATTTGAGTAGTTCGCGCACAAACAAAGCCGCGGAGGTGCAGGCACGACAGAAGGCCGCGTTTTTCCAGGCTTTTGGTGCGAAAGCGGACGATGACGACGGGGGGGAAGTGGACGAGACGGCGAAAAAATCTTTTAGCGCGAAAGGACAAGGATTAATCGTCGACAACAATTTGTTCCAAGCAGCTGAGCCAGACATCGAGATGGGAGTCTTCACACCCACCTCGGCTTCACACAACAACCATCAAGCCGGCAACCCCAGTACTGCTAGGCCGAGAGACCCGTGGCACGGGTGGCGGGTGGGGACGCAGGACTCGCGGTTGTTTTTCTACAAAAAGGACTTCCGGCAATACGAGATGCCCACGGTGATGGAGAGCCGCGTGTTCGGGAAGTGGAGGTTGGTGTACCCCAACGACGGCACGAAACCGTTTTACTACAACCGCAAGCTGAACCTGTCCCTGCCGAACCACCCGGTGAACACGTTGAACGTGTTTGACGCCTGCTTCAAAGGCGATCTGTTTTACCTGCACCTGTTTCTGGACGCCTTCTGGCTGGAACTGAGCCAGGGTGTGTACGACATAGTGGACGACACAACAGGGGGTGAGGGCTCCCGCTTCGGGGCTGCAAGTAGTTCCTCCTCCAGCATCGAACTATCGGGCGCGGACGAGACCACAACTCAAGAACAGAAAGATAGCGAACAGCCAGTTACTTCGAAGAAGGCTACGAAATCATCGAGGACGAGATCTATGCATTGAAAAAGTATCGTACTTGTATAGGTAAATGCATTACAAATTTCCCCAGCATGAGAAAAAAAAAGGTTTGTCATGCGAATTTACCTTAAAAAGAAAATTTAAATTTGTATATGCATGAATGCAATTACTACGAACGAGTACGATACTTTTGCCCAGGATAAGATCCGCCGTGGTTCAATCCCTCGCGACCATCGCGGAGGAGGCTATGGATGTGTCCGGTTCGAAATCGACAAAGTTGAAATGATTTGTCATGCATAAAATGCAAGGCATGATGTGCCTGTCTTGCCGGGATGGCAAGTGAGGCCGATTGTGAGCTTGTTTAGGGTTTGAGATAAAGCTGCTAAAGTAGCATAACAAAAGACGCCTTCTGTCCCTAAACAGCATGACAAATTGGATTCCGGTGCTCGGAAAATTTGTCATGCGCCACGGCGGGTGGCTCGCAGCAATAAGGAAACTGGCAAGGGTAAACATCTGTCTGTGCTTGCAATGCGCTGATGGACTGTGCTCTGCCAAATAGTGAAGTAATTTGGACTACTCCAGTTCTGGTCCCGTTGCTGTATATTGTGCGCGGGTGCTGGGTGGAAAGGTCCAACAAATATGTTGGCGTGTGTGTGTGTGTGAGGAGGAAAGTTTGGAGTGCCAGGTCCGTTGGGCCCGGGGTGGCGGCGTCTTTGGGTTGATCAAATCACCCGAAACACAATGCCACCTCGTGTTGCACAGTCTGTTTATGTCATGCGCCACTTGGAAACTGCGCTTCCGACTGGTATCGGCTTTATGCATGACAAACTATAATTTCAACTTTGACGATTTCAATCCTGACACTCCCATAGAGGCCGCGGCGGTGGAAGAGGTGCGGAAGCGAAAAATGGACAAGTTGCAGCGACTCGCGGAGAAGTTGCAGATCGGGGCCGCCGCGCCGGTCGGACCCTTTCCAGCGGTCGGCGGGGGGAAGCGCCCGGTCCTGTTTTTCGAAGGCGAGCACGCCATGACGCCCGGTGGAAATAACAACGGCAGCGACGTGTCCACACCCTCGGGGCGAACGCCGAAGTCGCCACTGTACCGCGGCGACCGGCTGATCACGTCGGGGTTTAGCTTGACGCAGCAGGACTCGAAGAATTCGAGTGTGGCTGGAGGGCCAACAGCTTCCGTTCTTTCTGGATATCGAATGCAAAAATGTCTGGGTCTGGAAGAATGCAAGATTTGTCATGCATATTTCTCATGACCGATGATGCCTAGAATGCTTGGCCTAGCATCGCAGACTTTTAGAGGGCTTCCTGATGCATCTTCCGCATGAGAAATACCCTGTCCGTGTAGCAAATACTGTACCCCTCTTGCTGGTCATGCAATACAAATTTTTTTAGAGTCCAAAAGCAGCATGATAAGTCGCAATCTTCCAGACCCAGACACTTTTGCAGTTGATACTGGAGCAGGGGGTGCAAGAACTCCACTGGTGCCAGGCAGTCCTACGAGGGCCGCGGGCGCTGCGGCAACCGTTGGCGAAAAACCGGGCACCAACATGACAACGCCCGCACCTGAAATGAAACCCAAGATGACTGTGGACAAGGCCGCTGCGATCATGAAAAAAGCGGCTACTCTGGTACCGAAATTGTCCTTGACGCCACCGGGCAAGGACGTGAAGAACGCCCAACCGGCTTCTGGGGGGAAGATGATGATGCAGCACTTGCCGCAAGAAGGCCTCGCCAAAGCGAAACAGAGCGGGTTGGCGACCGCCACAGCGTTGCTGGCAAAAATCAAGCAGGGGCAGGCCTCGTCCTCTTCACCCGCAGGAGCTGCTTCGCCGAAGTCACTACTGCAAACAGGCCCTGTAGTACTGGGCGTGCCGTCGTTACGTGGAACAACACTTGCGTCGTCGCCTTTGGTGGGTGGGAGCAGCCGTGGAGGTGCAGCTGCAGGAGTCTCAAACTTTTCTCCTGTCGCACAACTACAGCGGCCACGAGTCGTCGAACCAAAGGAAATGTCCGTGTCAGTACAGACGCCACGACTGGCGCGAGGTGCCGTCAACGAGGAAGAGGACTCCGAATCCAACGCTTCCAGCCGCGAGGGTGCTGTCGTGGCAGGAGCAAGCCTCGGGGCGGGAAAGAACGTGGTCGCACCTTCTTCTCGAGTCCTTGCGCCGGAGAGTAAAACGAGCGCCGTGGACGAAGAGGTGGAATTGTTCGTGGGCGCAAAGTATGCATTGCAAATATGTCTGGGTCTGGAAGGTTGCAAGTTGTGATGCTGTGTTTCCACACTAAAAAGATTTGTACTGCATGACCAGCAAGAGGATTCCAGTTTGTGCTACGTGGGGGGGCATTTGTCATGCGGAATAGGCATCAGGAAGCATTCTAAAAATCTGTGATGCTAGGTTCCGCATTCCAGACCTCATGGGTCATGGGAAACCTGCATTACAACCTTGCACTCTTCCAGACCCAGACACTTTTGCAGTTGATACAAAGGAAATCCTGGTCACGGAAAGTCCCTCCCCCTCAGAATCTCCGTCGCCCCCGCTGACCGCGCGCTTCCCCGTATCATGAGGAAAAATGCCCCCTCCCCATATCGAAACAAAGTTTCTGATGCTGGATTTCCATACACAGATCAGATTTGTCTTGCAGTAGAGGAATGCACGCATATGTCAAGCCTCAGCCGAGAGGTTTGACGTAGGCGCCTAGCATGATAAACGTGTATGCTCTGAGCCAAACAGCATTACAAACCGCCTGAAAAATGCGGAACGCTTTCTGGACTTGCCTTCTTGCAAGACAGACAGGATTTGAGGTCACAAATGCGCATCACAAATTTTCAGACGGATACGCTTTCGATATGGGGAGGGGGGATTTTTCACTTCGATACCCCGCCTCGACGCCTCCGCTGACGTCTCGCGTACAGCCGGGAGCTTCGACATCGCCCCCACTGACCGCGAGAATGTTGGTACCGGCCTCGTCCTATGAAGATGAACTGCAAAAGTACCGTACTCCTACTCGTATAAATGCATTACAAATTTTTTCAGCATGAGAAATAAAATTTCTAATGCGGATTTACCTTACAACAAAGATTTGTAATGCAAGACTTGCATTTCCATTTATACGAATACGTATAGATACGATACTTTTGCACAGGATACGTCCACGCCGCCCCTGACCGCCAGGATTGATCCGGACAAGCCACTGCAGCTGCAGACGGTGGTGGATGGAGTGCCCGCGAAATTGCATGTAGTTTCCGAGGGAGGAGGTCCTCGTGGCGGAACTAAAGGACGAGAAAGTGCTGGAATAAAGTCGTCTCCTGTGCAGCCTGCAAAAAAACCTACAAACTCTTGGACACCACAGAAAAAGTCCTCGACGCAACAAGAAACTATTCCGGCAACTACTAATACACCGACTGCCGCGAAGCAAGTGCAACAAGAGGGACAACTATCCGGCGCTTCCTCGCGAAAAAAGTCCTCGACCGCGACCCCTGGCGGAAGTACCATTGGTGGAAAGGCCCCGGCGCGAGAACTTCTAGTGGATGAACAAAAAGCGGCAGCTGTGAGCATGAGCAGCAGTGCCAAGAAAAATCAAACCCCTTCTGCTCCTGCAGCTAATGCTAGTGCAGCCGCTAAAGCACCTGCACCACCAAAAGCAAAAGCTGCTGGAGGTGGTCCTGATCCTGGTTCAGGAGCTGCCCAGGACGAGAAACCTCCGTCCCCGCAGCGTCTTATCCAGGCCGTTCCTCTGATCTCGCCAGCAACGGAACAGCTGCCCCCAAGTGGGGAACTGCAAGAAGGGCAATTACAAACGACGTACCCAAGTAGAACCAACGAGCCCTCCGCATCCACCGAGGAAGCGGCGAACGTGCGCGACGCGGTGCAGACTTATCCTTATCCTTGGAATGAGGGGAAGGATTTGCCGCCAGAGACCGCCTCACCGGTGCGCGGAAAAATTCACGCGAAAGTCGAAAAGCGGAAACACCAGAGGAGGCTGTCCGCCCTGCGGCTCACGCAGATTGAGATAAGCAATCGCACACATCATCGATCATCCGGGTCTGGAACATTTTTGCAGCAGAGGGGCGGGGTGGTCATCGCCATGCCTTATTTCCTCAGAGGCCATTTCCATGCCATGCGTCATTGCCATGCCACAGAGTTTTGTGAGAGATTGTGTGAAGTTGAAGATCCAGAGCTAGCATGACTCATTCTCGAAACCACTTGAATTGAAATCGAGACTCGGAACTACGATATGTGCGCTGCATATGAGAATTACTTGAGCTATTCGGACCTGGATGTCGCGGCCACGCCGTCAGCGAGCAGTGTGGTGCAACAAGGGACACGACCAGCACCGGTGGTGCCAGAGTCCCCGGTTTTCAGCGAGCATTCCGGTGCGGGCACCCGCACCAGCCAGCAAAGCTCAGTTGCGGCGAGCTTCCACGAACTGCATGGTTTTAACAACAGCAGCATGACCACGTCAGGGCGAAGCAATAAATTGGCTTCATCACAGACGAGCACGGGAACAAATAAGAGACAGCATGACTTGGAATCGGTCCTGGCAAAGCGGACGCTTCTGTACGATGATAAGGAGAACGTCATTTTCGAGAAAACCTCGCGTAAAACCCTCGTGCACTACGCCTGCATGGCAACCCAGGAGCGAATCGTCCAGTACCTCGTGGAGTGCCACTCGTTCGGCATCCAAACGGTCGACGCCATGGGCTTCGCCCCGCTGCACATCGTGGTGCGAAACGGCGCACTGTCCCTGGCACGGTACCTCCTGCACGCGCGCGCGAACGTGAATGACAAAACGCGAAACGAGTTTGCGGACACCGCCCTGCACATGGTTTCCAGCCTGGCCATATGCAGTGCAAATATGTCTGGGTCTGGAAGCTTTCAACTTGTGATGCTATGCTTCGACTCCAAAAAAATCTGTATTGCATGACCAGCCAGAGGAGTTCAGTTTGTGCTACGCAGAGAGGGCATTTCTCATGCGGGTCAGGGATCAAGTTCAAGAAGGCCTCAGAAAACCTTTGATGCTAGAGCATACATCACAGATATGATGGACTATGCAAAATGTGCATGACAAACTTGGCTTCTGCCAGACCCAGACATGTTTGCAATCCATAGGCCAACCCCTTTTCCATCACGTCCTTGCTGCTGGAGTACCAGGCCAACTGCTTCGAAACCAACAGCGACCACTGCACGCCCTTAGATGTGTATGAGAGTGCACAACTCCCCCTCCCCCTCATTTCAAGGGCATAAACAGCAACACAAGTCCTGGCATCAACGCAGCTTTTGCATGACAAATTTTCGACCGATTCTACTGCTGTTTCGGCTTCTGGAATTTGCCATGCAAGCAGTGCCAAAGGGAAAAGGGTGGATTAGCATTTGCTGTTTTGCATGACAAATGAGGGGGAGGGGGAGTTGTGCACTGTCATAATGTGGTGCAGCGTTCCAAGAACCACCCGGCGCGAGACGCCTTGCTCTTGATTCTGCAACGGGAGTCGGAGCGGCAACAGCACGCGGAGAAGCAGCGGCAGGCGAGTGGTGCGGAGGGCGGCTCTATGACAGTGCACAACCCCCCCGCCCCGTGATTTGTATAGCATGAACGGCAATACAAGCGCCAGCGAGAATGCAGGTTTTGCATGGCGAATTTGCACAGGATTGTCGTGCTATTATTTGGGCTGCCAGAACTTGTCATGCAAACAGTGCCAAGATAGAGGCACAGCCTGGATTGGGCATTTCGCATGACAAATGAGGCGGAGGGGGAGTAGTGCACATTCATAGGCTCTTCCAGTGGCGAAGAGGTGGACATCACGATGTCGGAGCGGTCGGCAGAAAAACTACTGGGCCACGACACGATCATATCGCAGGAAAAAAGTGGTACAGTGCAGGCAAAGCAAGACAGACAAGCTCTCTCATGCCGGATATGCATAGGAGCCTCGTTTCATAGGTGTTTTGCCGTAGGATTTCTGCATTACAAGTTTGCTCTCTCATGCAGAGAAATTTGTGTTGCTGAATTGACAACAAATGTGTAACTGTAACTTTTTTCGTGGGATAAATCACTCGGAGAATCTGGGCGAGCCTGGCGGCGTTCATTGGGAGGTAGAAGTTGGTCGCGAGGGCGGAATTGGCAGTTTGAAGAACTTTATCTTTTTTAGCAACAGCATGTGATTTTTACGACTCAAGTCCGGAAAAGCAAAACCGGGAAAGAGGCTGGAACAGTTCGTAGCAAAAACAGTCCATGCCAAAAACAGTTCATGAATCTCTGCCATGCTTGGAAGCCTTCAACAAGTTCTATGGCGAGCAGCAACGAACCGAAGAAAGTCATCCTAACCCCAAAGTACTTAAACTCCACCCGCCTAGCAAGTGTACTGAAGTCACGAGTGTTCTCTTGGCCTGGCAGTTTTCTTGACAGACAGCAAACCAAACAGCAAAATGATCTACCTCCGGAATTTTCTACGCAGCAGCTACAGCGGTTGTTTATGTGAAAGAGTTCAGCCTGCAAATAAGTCTGTTTGCCTTTGTTGTTTCAAGAAACAGGAGCCACGACCGCGAGGGAGCTCCATCGAAAACCGCTTTTATACAGGAAACGACCTGGATTCAAAAGCGACGCAGCGCAACATTTGGAGGAGCGCAGATATTTCGCTGAATAGAATTTGTCCGCGTTTTGGCTATGTTCTTGCAAAGCTTTGCTCTTTCAGGATTGCACGAGACCACTGTAGTTACAACAACATAGATCATGCACCGAAACACGGCTTCGCCGGATCGCGGCGCGTTAGGCTCAGGATCGCACCCACCTCCACCAGTACCTTAGGTATTACAGCAAAATGAGGCTAACATCAACCGTTTCATCTGAAAATGAACCCCGACCACACGATTCGCATGTAGTCGCTGATGCTCGGTCAGCTACAGAATCGGTGGCGCGCGGACGCGGACCCGGGACAACATCCCCACCACCAAGAGCACCGGCGCAACCCCCGCCCCGGCGCCACCTCAACGTGTGGGTGCTGTGGTTTCTGGTCACGACCCTGCTGTCTATCGGTGTGTTTGCGATTCTGATTTTTTTCGTCGCAGACCAACTGGAGCCGCACGACTTCGTTTTTGTGGTTTTCGTCTCTTGTGTGGATCTGGTGATGATGGGAATCATGTTCTACAAATTCTTCTTCGAGAAGGGGTCCGTGAAAGAAGGGGCTTTGTACGAACAGGATGCTAGAGACGTCCTACCTGGCCAAGCTCAAGACCACACAGCTGCTTCTCACGACCTTTATCCCGGAATGAGGTCAGCAAGCACTGTTCATGATGATGCAGAATCACCAGAAGTAGACCAGGGAAACAAGAACAGCACGACAGCTGCCGGCGCAGGAGGATCTTTCCTGGAAGCAGAAACAGCTATGGATATGGTGCGTAGAAATAGCGACGCGCACAAGCGGATGAATTCCGAGCAGCTAGTGCAAGCAGATCATACGGGCCAGCAGCCGTCTGGGTCTGCGGAGGTCGTAACAGCCGGCGAAGAAGATCATGCCCATGATGAAAAACCCTCCTGGCGAGAGAAGTACCTGATTTTTTGCCATTTGCTCCTACCGCTGGAGCTGTTCTACGTCTGCGTGTTTTCCTCTTCGTTGGCGCTGATCGCTTTAGCGGTTTTTCTCCTGGTTGGCATACACGCGCAATGGTTTCATCGTTCCAGGACAAAAAACATTCCGTATTTCCGGTTGGGCGATAAACAGGATGAGAATATTATGCACCCGAGCCCGAGGAGCCAAGACCAATCGCCAGATAATCCATCTAGATCCACATCCACGAAGAGAGGTCCCTGTGTCATGGACGATTTTGGTGCGGCTATCCCGGCGTGCATGCGAGGGCCGGTTTTCGACCTCACGTCGTTTTTCGGATCGATTACCTTGCTTGGGATTGGGGCCTACCGGATCCTGGTGTATGCAAAGGTCGTTTGACGATGCTGGCATATCGGAATCGCAAAGGCGTGTTTCCCTTGATCTTGTGGTCTGCGACGTAAATAGGCAGCAAAGTAGTATCTCCATCCATTAGCGCCGTTCTAGTATACTTAGTTCCAGTTGTAATTTCGAGCTGTGCTTCTGATGTGGCAATTAAAATTATGTTTCAGTTGTGTACTATGTTGAAAGTGTCACCTGCTGGGAAGTTTGTATTCGCCGATCACAGCAAAGTGTGCTGCAGCAGTTTCTACAAATCGTGCTGTGGGTGCTTGTACTCAGCAGCGAACATCCTACAGCGACGTATTCACACAACGTCGGAAACACTACCCGAGCTATTTACTTAAGTATTGTGGACGTTTTGATTGCAAAAGCGATCGGAGTATGCTTTTCTGCTCACTAAAGCGATACGCTGACATCAATATCTTCAGGATCAGCGAGCAGCATGTGGTCGTCCTCGGGACGCGCAAAGCAACCTCGATGTTCGCTTTCTGAAATCGGTAATAGTGAAAGAGGAACAGCCTGTCGCATTAGGAAAAGAATATCTCGTCTGTACCTGCAAGAGCTACCACTACAGGCTGCCCACGCAGCACTATCAATCTGTTGCACAGGAGACGGTTGCAGCTTGAACTTGAATGCACCTGCTGCGGAAAAGTCGGTCTACAAGCAAGTCTGTCAGTTCTTTTCAAGAAGTTGTAGCGAGGACTTCTGCGAGGTGCTGCTCCGCTACTTATTTCCCTCGGACTACACCGAAGACGGTAATATCAGACACTTGTCCTCTAGCTGCGCATGCTCTTCGGCATATCAGGTAAATCTACAAAAAGCAAGTCGGTTTATTGCGCGGTGTGTCCATTTCTACGTGTGTTTTTTTGAAGAAGTGAAGTGAGGAAATTGATATTGTACACATACTATGTTGACCTTGACCAACCCAAGGAATAGGAATAACAGCTTCATCTCTTGAACCATGGCAGCACATTGACATTGTGTGTCATGCATTGTCTGTTGGTACCTACTACCATGAATATCGCGATATGTTGTTTGGTCGAGCTTAAAGACCGGTGGTAGTTCCCGGATTTATTTTACTTGCTTATGCGGGGTAAATCGAATAAATCTAAATGTAAATGCAAATTGCCATTTCTGTCCCAGACTAGCGGCCTACGACATTTGTGTACGATAGACGTTTCCTTTGATTTTAGAATTTTCGTATAGCCGACGTTTACTCGGATCCCGCCGCGCCCGCGGCAGCGATTCTCGATTCCTGCAGGAGCCCAAGAAGGTGTACTTCTAGGACCTGTGTGCTCAACATCTTCACGACCCGCCCAGACAAAACCAGACCCCGTGCAGCGGACGATGAGTGCTGGCACAGCTCCGGGACCACCCTACATCGCCCTCCCTGGTGGAGCTGGGGGCCTAGCACCCTCCAATATGGCAAACGCGAACAATGAAAAAAAGACCAACTCGCCTCCACCCCCGATATTGAAGGAGAACAAAATGCGTTTTAGCGACGAAAACAAACGAAAGCTGAGCTGTGTGATGGAGTCCATGACGGCGGAAAAGGTAATGCTTTTATGAAGGGCGTGAATTTATTTTGCATGCGTATTCTGCGTACTTATCAAAAACAAAATCTTCGAATCTACAGGGATTGTACTTCCTTGCACCTTATTTCGTAAATTGCAAGATTTCATCGTCAATAAATACGACAGATCTCGGCACTCAAGACGTCCTTTCAGAACAAAAGCGCGCTGGGTAAGAACCTCATACCGGGTGCTATGAGAGTGCAGAGGATGAACTCCTCCTTCATTCGGCTTCTTGTCGCTGGAAGATCTGCAAAGAGTGCGCAACTACTTACGCTAGGCATTGCCTTTTGCTTCTAGCTGCGGTACCGCAATGGTGCGTAACAAGTTCTATACAGAAGTAGCAGAGCGAGAACTTCACTTCTAGCACCCCAAACTACGAAGAAGTTGCTGTTGCGATAGTAAGATTTATAGGCCGCGGACTTGTCAATGTCATGCAGCAGAAAGTACAGACCTTGTTCTTCCGAGCGGCCCTTTTGACTGCTGGTCTTGCCTTCCGAATGGCCTACAACTGAAGGAGGAGTACTTGTGCACTTCCATACCTGGCTCAGGTGCACAAGACGAGGCAACCAAGCAGGAAAAATCCTATGCCCAGAAAGTTGCAGAATGCGTCTCCGGGCTGGTCTCCTCGAAAAACGGCACCTTGATCGGACCGAGCAAGGGGGATGTGATCGGAGGGTTCACCCTCGGGCTGATACTCATGGCGCAGTCCGTTGCCCACGCGGGTCTTTGCGGTTTGAGTGGGGCGGACTTGATTCACGGGCCCTACAGCTGCATATTACCGCCGCTGATCTATGCGTGTCTCGGCTCCAGTCGCCACGGTTCGGTCGGGACCGGGAGTCTGGTGGCGTTGCTGACGGGACAGTTCATCAAGAACGCGGAGATCAACAATCACCCAATAGCGGCACAGGTGAGTAGAACATGATGTGACATTTTTGCGACAGACGGCTAAGCTTCTTCTCCGCACAGAAGTGGTTGGCACTGTGATCTTCGAACAAAAATTATCGTTTGGTTCTTTTCTCATTCTTTATGCAAAAAGATGTTTTTTTATCAAATTCAAACATCACTGCAGGTCGTGTGCATGACCACCATAGTGGGGATCGTTTTGATCCTGATGCGGCTTCTCCAGCTCCAAGCGCTCGTGAAATTTCTCTCCCGCGCGGCCCTCGTCGGTTTCGTGTATGCGGTGCAAAAGTATCGTACTAGTATAAATTGCATGACAAATTTGCTCAGCATTACAAATGAAATTTCTCATGCTGATTTACCTTGAGAAAGAGATTTGTCATGCATAATTGCAATTACTACGAGTGCGATACTTTTGCACTCCATATCGCGAACGCCTCCGCGATTCTGATCATCGAGTCCCAGTTCCGCGCCGTGATCGGGTTGAGAAAAGACCCCAACCAACCACAAGGGTTCCCGGGAAAAGTGTTTGATTTGGTGAAGCAGCTGATCAACCTGGACTTCGTGAACTGGCAGATCGGGGCCTTGGGTTTGGCGCAGTTGCTGCTGTTGTTCGCGGCGAAAAAGATCAGTAAGTCCAAGTGGATGAAAGACGCGGCGGAGCAGAAAAAGGGTTGGGTTCCGTTTCTGAAATTCATCTTCAAAATGAAAGATATCGTCGCGGTCTGCTTCGCATTCGCGGTCTCCTACGTGGTCACGGAAAACTACCCGGCTGTGGACCTGAACAACGTAGGTGCGTTGCAGTCCGGGCTCCCAGCAATGATCTTTCCACCATCGCCAATAGCGGTAAAGATCGCGCCACCCGTTGTATTACCGTCAGACACGACCCCGCCGTCACGACCTGTTGACCCCTGCGACCCGAGTAACACCCCAGACACGGTTCTTTTCTACTTCGGTAGCGAAAACGCGGACGGCCACACCTCGTGCGTCCGCGTGTCCGGGTTGTGGCAACAGCTGCTTCCCGGCGGCGCGGTGGTTGCCTTTATCGCATTCCTGTCGTCATTTGCCGGCGCGAAGAAATTTGCCTTGCAGGACGGGACGTATCAGGTCGACGCGTCGAAGTATCTCAGAGAAAAAAGCCAGCATGTCATGCAGTGAGGATGCAAGAAGCAAGAGACGCGACGAGATAAGTATGTAGTTTTGTGTACTTCATTCATCGAGACGTATCTGTTTTTGCATTAATACAGTCGCTAGCTTTTTCTCTTCGATACGAAAGAATTGAACGCGCTTGGGACCGCGAATCTTCTCGGCTCGTTTTTCGGCGCCATCCCGGTGCAGGTCGGCTTGAGCAGAGTATGACATTGCACAAGAACTCCTGCTTCCCCTGCGACCCCTCATTGGTCTTGCCAAAATTATAAATCGAAAGTAACTTCTAATAATTTCCTTCTGAGGAGCATTACAGCATTCATAAAATTCAAAATCCAGGCGCTGCCGTGGTGGCGGTTCTTGCGGATTTACTGTCATGCGATGAAAGCTACATGTTTATTTCTAGTTGTGGCTGCAACTGAAGGTGAAGGGCAAGGAACATGGAGGGGAACTAGTCCTGGTTCTGCACCTTCATACCGCACCGCGATCGGCTACGAGGCCGGCGTGCAGTCCCAGTGGGGCGGGAACGTCGTGGTGGCCGTGATGGTGATTTTTCTCTCCCTTCTCTTCACCCCGATCTTCCACTACGTCCCGCAGTCCACGCTCGCCGCGATTATCATTTCCGGTGCCTCGGGGCTGTTCGATTTCCAGATCGTGCGATACCTGTACAACATGGAGCCCGAACTGTACAAGAAGCGCGGCTTTTGGATCAACATTGTGGCTTTCGTCGGAACGCTTCTTGTCGGCGTCGCGCAGGGCATTTTGGTCCCGGGGTTTCTCTTATGAAATGCAAAAGCATCGTACTAGTAGAAATCGCGTGACAAATTCCGTCAGCATAAAAAATGAAATTTGTAATGCGGCTTGAGGTTAAGAAGGAGATTTGTAATGCATGACTGCGATTAGTACGAATGCGATACTTTTTTCAGAGGATTTCTCTCCGTCTTTTTGCTCATCAAGGACGCGACAAAACTGCGCGTGCGGGAAATGGGAAAGCTACCGCAGTCGAATATGACAGTGCACAATTAGTCTCCTCTTTTCTTATTATTTTATTTTGGAAGGACAACTGCAACTGGAAAGAAGTGGCTGTTGAGTTTTGCATCACAGTTACAACCAGAACCATCTTAATTCACCAGAGTGGGGGACCACGAGTTGTGCACTAGCATATGGGAATCTTGGAGAACGAAAGACACTTGGAAAACAGCAAGATCTGTGCCGGACATTTTGGCGTTGCGGCTCGAGGGCAATCTATGCAATGCAAAAGCATCGTACGAAGTATAAATTGCATTACAAATTATAATTGACTTAGCATTACATAATGCTGATTTACGTTGAGAAAGAGATTTGTAATGCATAAATACAATTACTACGCGTGCGATGCTTTTGCAGAGGATACAGTCTGACCTTTAGCAACGCGGATGCGCTGTTTGATGAGATAACGAAGCACGTTGGTATAATATGTTTTTTTGAAGATTTGATGAAAGAAAAGAAACAAATTTTAAACCCGGATAAACACGTAATGAGTGAATGAGTGAATGAATTTTTTAAGGAGGTAGGTTTTTTTTGCGTAGTTCTTCGAAGATGTTTCAAATTCATTCATTAGCGTCATGGAGCAAAGACCCTAGAGTTTCTATCGCATGAACAACAACAGAGGGCAACGGCGGGCTCGAGGGTGATGCCATCAAGGCTCTGGTTCTGGACATGGGCAACGTTGCGATCTGCGACTTCTCTGCCCTCGCGGTCTTGGAGGAGATGGCAGCAGCCTGGCGGAGGAAGAAGAAATTCCTGATCATAGTGGCCACACGGGACAACATCCGCGAAAGATTGGAACGGTTACTCATGCCGCTGATACCCAACCCGTCACTGCTACTGAACACAGACGACGGGGTCACGCTCGCGAAATTTCTCATCACCGGGGAGGCGGCGACCCGACCAAGCTCGCCCGTAAGGAAAAGCTCGAAGGACCAAAGTATGGAAGCGCCAGGAGGTGGGAAATTTCGTCAAAATCGGAAAAGACTGCGATTTATTTGCATGCGCGCGGGCCCGCAACTTTGAAGGTGCGCAGGAAAAACAAGAAGCCCAAATCCAATACACGATAGCAATACGGTTTGATGTATCTCCTGCTCCGAAATAACGCACTTCTTTTGCCATGCTCTTTCGCAATATCTCTGGCTACCATTGGCTGTGACAGGCAACTGTACATTGTGTTCTGCAATGCAGACATTTCTTGGAAGCATATCATGTCATGCATCACAAACCAATCCATCGGGATTTTCGTTTTGCAACCTTTTCACGACCTGGCACTTCCATAGACGGCCAGCAGGGTTCCTTACAGAAAGTGGTGATAGAATACGACGAGAAGACGTCCGTAGGATCCGCATCGGTACCACGGATTTTCATTTTTTTGTAGTTTTAAGTTTAGCATAAGCTATCACATTCACCGTCGATCTTCTTGCACATCCGGCTTATCATAGGTACATCGTAATCCCGAGGGATCCACCTCCGACATGTTGATGCAAAACACTCTACACAGATTCCACCGTCCCTGAAGTCTTTCGTCTGGGCAAAATTCAACGCGGACGAGCTTGACGAGATGCACAGTGAGTTGCACAGTCGCTACGACGCCGTGGCCCACCGGTCTTCTAGCCGAGACAATGGCCCTTCGTCCACTAGTAGGGACACCGGTCCACTAAATCAGCCTTTGCTCAGCACGAATGATAGATCGCAGTCCGCAGACAGTCCGCAGCGTGGTAACGCCCCCTTCTACCAGCCCACGCAGCGGCTGTCCGGTGCAAGTGTCGGGTCCGACGCGAGTCGATCGCCGGGGCAGGAAAGATGGACGAAACTCGGAACCTCAACCTTTTTTCAAAGTCGAAAGCTGAACGTGCTGGAATCGACGCGGTTAAACCGGGAATTTTCGGAAGTCGCGTTAACCCCGATAGCAGCGACGGCGAGCAACCCGGCTAATCCGAGCAGAGACAACCTGCTGCAGTAGCACTTGCTGCTCTTGTCATTGCATCCTCGGTTGCAATTTTGATTTTCCGGGAGAAGCGAAGTGGAAGGGTGGAGCAACTGCGGGGAGAAGCTCCTTCTGTCGTCGGTTTCTTCTGCTGTTGTGCTGCCACGCGTTTGTTCCTCTTCCCAAGCCGAAATTTAAATGAAAATCATGAGCATGTTTCAGTTTCGTATGTACCACTTGATTTCCATTTCTATCCCCGCCCTTCGCGGACCAACATCGGCGGCGCGCGACGTGTACAAAACTCTTTGAGACGTGGGCGTTTCTTTTTACCACGAACATCATCTACGTATTTACGAATCAAACAAGTAGAAGTACTACAACGCAATAAACATCAACGCAGAGATACCAAAAAAAAGGCGCAGCACCAACTACCTGCTGGTAGTACGAGAAGCTGAATGAACGCAGACATACGTCTGTAGTTGGTGATCGAGTTTGTCTTTGTTCCTGCTCGTGTTTCGCTCTTTCCCGCCGCCCTTGATCGGACAGATTGCTATCGTCGGTAGGAAAAGGGAGAGCCACAGCCAACCCAAATCTTACATAGGCAATTAACGTAAGTGGACATCAAGAAAACAAAATGAAAAACTCGTCGACCTCTATTGTGATCGTTCGAAGAGAGACGCGTCGTTTTGAGGGACCGATGGATGTTGCTTTTATTCAGAGAGTCGTCGTGCTACTTGTACTTCCGCTGCCTTCGCGTATCATTCGCTTCCTTGTGACAGGAGTTGGAGTATTTACGAGTCGTTTATCGTCCGGTGCTGCGTGTTACAACTCTGCTTCAATCAGATCGATGCGTGACTAGAAGCGCTATGCTTCATAGCCCTGAAGATATTAAGCGAATACCAATTATAGCGAGGGGGGCGAACGCGAAACAAGTACAACTTCTTTCGGAAGAACCAGAATCGTTTACCTCGTGACTGACAGACTGAGCAAGTTGACGCCCAAAACTCTTTTCTTTGACGGACAAAAAAGAACCTTGAATTTAAAGGCAACTAACATGGAGCATTCCCAGCACGGGGCCTCCGTGTCCTCCACGAGGCCTTCGCATGGAGGTGGCAGCCCGAGCGGGGACAAGAAGAGAACGCAGCTGTTGTTCGATATGAGTCTCAAGCAGGGCGACCATGCCGCCGTGTTTCTGCATGGCGAGAGCTACAAAGGCGAGTGGCTGAACGACAGAAAGCACGGCTACGGGGTGTTCACATACAAGGACGGTAGGAAAGTTTTTGTCATGCAGGAACAGATGACATATTCGCATGGTCTGAGTTGAAACTACAACCCTACATTGTCTCTATTTGCACACATTTTCACCACAGGCGGCAGCAAATATGAAGGGCAGTTTGCACACAACAAGAGAGAAGGCGAAGGAGTCCTGTGGATGGCAGAGGGAAAACTAAAGATGCGAAAGGAATACATCGGCGTATGGAAAAACGACAAGAGGCACGGGAAAGGTATTTTTATTCTAGTGGATTCGATGAGACAGAGAAAGTAGAACATTACTTGTCATGCAGAAGACGATGAAAGCCAGCAACTGCAATAGCAATACTACTGGTAGTACCAAGACGAGGTCAATTTGGTTTTGGTTTGTGCTGCAACAACACACTGACAATTTGAATTTTCCACTCGAAACCATTGAAAAAAAGGCACCGCCTTTTACCCGCATGGCGAGTGTTACCAAGGCGAGTGGCAAGACAACAAGAGACATGGAGAAGGGCAAATGAAGTACAAGGACGGGTCACTTTATGTAGGGCAGTGGTTCGACGACGTCAGGACAGGCTACGGTACATTTTCATTTTGTTTAGCCGTGTTATTCAGGATTTGCATGACAGAGTCGGCCTGTAAAAACAAAAAGTCATCACACCAACACAACAATAAAAACAGGTCACCTAACAAAGGGAAACGGCGACGTATACGAGGGCTATTGGGTGAAGGACGCGAGGGAAGGCGGGGGCAGTTACTTCTACAAGTCCACCGGAAAAGTGTATGTGGGCGAGTGGGCAGCAGACCAACCCATCGCAGGGTCCTTCCAGCAGGCTTTAAAAAATCCAGCGGAGCCAGGTACAACAAAAATAATCTTTCGTAGACGTACAAATGGATGCTGAATCTCTGTCATGGGAATGCGAAAGGCACAGTGAGTTATTTCTCATGCAAGTTACTCCAACAAAGATAAACACAAACTTGAAAATAAACCGAGGTGTCCTCCCCGTGACCAACATCGTCCCGAACCTCCAGCTCCAGGATTCGGAAGAGGTGCTCGAGACCGCCCTCCAGCACGTTCGTGCCAGCAGGCTGCTTTTCCGCGCCGCGCACACCCCACTGGAAAAACTGTACCCGAACACCGCAGATTTGCAACAACTGAAGCAAGCGTTTGCGGCTTTATCCCCGGACCAACTGGCGAACCAATTTCACGCGGTGGTCACTACGCACCTGGAAATCCTCCCACCGACAAGTTCGAAGACAAAGTTAGACGCCGTCGTCGCCTATCAAATGTAAAAATGTCTGGGTCTGGAAGGTTGGAACTTGTGATGCTAACTTTGGACTCTCAAAAAAACTGCATTGCATGACCACCAAGAGGAGTCTAGTTTGTGCTACGCAGGGAGGGCATTTGTCATGCGGAGTAGACATCAGGAAGCGAAGCCCTCTAAAAATCTGTGATGCTAGGTTGCGCATTACAGATATCCTGGGTTATGCGAAATATGCATGACAAACCCGGAAACATTCCAGACCCAGACATTTTTGCATTTGATATCGCGAAAATGTTTTTGTTGCTCGGGCAGGTGGACACGGACCGGTGGGAATTTCCGGTTTTCGCTAAAATCGTCGCTGATATGCTTTGTAATATTGCCATGATCTTTTTATTTATTCGGGAGTACAATTTTGTATGTAGTGCGCAAGTTCTTGTGCGCCTACAAGGGCGACTGTGCAACATTTTGCATGCTTATGCATGTACACGTTGAGCGACTTCATGGTGATTTTGCAAAGGATAGCGCTTCTAGTGGACCAGGCGCCGACGTTTTGAGCATAGGAATCGGACTTCTTGAACAACTATTTGGAGAGGAAGAAAACCAAAAAGAAAGACGAGAGTCGTGTTACTGTCCTACAAAGACAGTTGTGATTGTCTAATATCGTGAGAAAACTACTACACCAATTTTGAGGAATCCATTCGAGAAAACATCATTCTAGCAGATGAAAGCAATTTCGATTGCGAGAGCAGATATTGTTTGAGTTTATACACTTTAGCAGGTCGCGCAGGGGCTCCGACGGACGTGGAGTATGTGGAGTTGTCGGGGTTGTATTAGTATTTGCGACGAGAATATGGTTGTGGAAGAATAAGAAATGTTTTGTACAATAGCAAAATGATACACGCGACGAACTACTTGCGTAATTCTTGTGCACTGAAAGATTTGGAATTGAAATAAGATTTGAAGAAAAATTCAAGCATGGCAAATACCATTAAGGAGGCTCGTGGTTTTGGCCTGTTGCCATTTGTCGCACGTGGTTCTGTCGTCTTCTGGGAGAAATTCGGATTTTCGTTAGCGCGAGGGTCGTGCAGTTCTAGCACTTCTGTCGGGAACAGTCACGGAGCGAGCTCGCACGAGTGTACTCTTGTTGTTGACCACGTCGACGAGGAGACGAGTTTTGACAAGACTTCGCATCGGCGACCTCCTGCCAGCTTCGCGGATTTCCGGCACCGGTAATTCGTGGGTCGTGAAAGTAGCAACAATGACCACGTACAATTTCACTTTGCTCGCACATTCACTACCAGTAGCTCCAAATCGCACTTTCAGCATGTGTTGCTTGCAAATCGCACCAAAGTTAATAAAGTAACCGGACTCGTCAGTTTTGCAAGCAACGACTCATCCTAGCTTTCCGAAGTTCGAAACACAAAAACCCCGCGGTAGGAAGTAAGTACTACTACCAAAAGAGGAAAAATGAAGGGTCAAATGAAGGGAGGCGCCAGGCCGGAAACGGCGGCGAACAAGGGCGGTGTGCATCCCGCGGTGCAAGCAGCCGCCGCGGTTGCCGAGAAGGTCGCGGAGAAGGTTGCCGTCCCTCCGTCTGTGCCGAGCAAGCCCTCGGCCGTGATCGACGCTGCTGCTGCGGTTGGGCCGCAGAACTGGTTTGACACAATCACATCGGATCCGCTGTCTATGAGAGTGCACAACTCCCCCTCCCTCTCATTTCTCATGCAAAATACCAAATCAGGGCTGTCACTCTCACTGTGGCTGTGCCTCTTGGCACTGTTAGCATGACAAACTCCGGAAGCCCAGACTACAGTACTACAATCCAGTGTAAACTTGTCATGCAGAACCGGCATTCTTGCTGATGCTTGTATTGCCGCTCATGCTACACAAACGAGCGAGGGGGAGGGGGAGGTGTGCACTGTCATACTGTCCCGGGTTTTCGATCTCGCGGTGATTTTCATCGTGTTCGGGTTCTGCGTCCATATGCAAATGTAAATTCACATACACCTGGTGACATCATGAGGTGCACATCTACAGCTGCACATCTACAGTCGCATAGACAAAACTCGATAGCAGGAACGCTCGCTGACAAGCATGAGAAATTGTAATTGTCTTTCTAGAGTTCATCTTTGTCTACTTAGGCTAGAAGTGGTGAACAGATTTATCTTTTATGTAGTTTTTGTACGTGTACGTCGTCGGTCGTGAATTTGTATTGCATACCTCACACGTATATCGAGTACAGTATGGACAAGGAAAAGGGGGAGCTGCCGGAAGAAGCGGAGCGGGACGTGGAGAAAGAAGACAAGGGAACGACGAAATCTGGGTATAAATGTTTCTTTCGAATTCAAATGCAATGCTCGCATGACAACTATGGATTCTATTCGATGCTTTCGCATGACAAAGAAATCCAAAACGAGATGTTGTAAAAAAAATTATCAGTTGGATGAAAGTTTTCGGGCTCGTGCTTTTCGCAGTGATCGGGTGGGAATACCGCGGTTGCTTCTCCTGCGCCATCCAGGAATACTCGAGTATTTCTTTACTTACTTAGATAGGTTACGAAGAAGTTTTTCCGATTTCACCGCAGATGTGATTAAAGGTCGGTCCGCATGAGGACAACGACAATTTTCACTTTGTTCTACACATGCACATCAATGGACGTTCATTGCATGTTGACACTGGCATCGTATTCATCAAATTCAAATCAGCCGTGTGCAAGCTGTGGTTCCAGACGTTTTTTTCCATGGTGGGGCCGGTGTTTGAAAACTTTGTATGGCGTTCTCAAACGTTACATTCTCAACTGTTACCCGATTTGTCATGCAAAAGGAACATCAAGCCCCACATACATTCACATTGTGAAGCTACTTCGCATGACAAATTTCGGAAAAGCTAAACAGCATGGGTGTCTGTGCCGCATTTGTAATGCAGCAAGAGTTGCAAGCTCCGGCCTTTCCCTTTTGCCATTCTTGCATCACAAATCCATGTAACTACAGTTGAGAGTGTAACAGTTGAGAGCGCCATACTTTGTCTCTGAAGCGTCGAAGAAAAATCCGTATGAAGTGGCGACTGCGGTCTCGGTGATTGCGGGCGGGGCCGTCTTGCTCTGGGCATTCAAGACGCGGAAGGGCAAGTAAGTGCGAAAGCGATTGTGGTGCTCGTCGGCTCGTCGCCATGTACTCGAAGCGAAGCATCAAAAGCTGGCTTCACATGCAAAAAGCTAAAACTAATGAGAAAGATGTGAAAATTTCTCTGCCGCCCAAAGGACTGACAAGTTTCAAAAATGCAGTTGCAGTTTCCAGGATAGTACTGTCTTAGATGAATTTACAATAGAATACAGCAGATTTGAACTCGTCCTCCAACCTACTACTTGTTTGAGTTTGTAAATATACCAGCCTCCAATGAACTCAAAGTTGAATTAGGCGCCACGACCTGTTACCCGACCCGCCGCGTACAGTACACAGTAAGTGCCTGGATAATCCGTTCCTCACCTATTTGAACTAACCTTTGACGCAACTACAGCTTGCCACTAGAAGTAGAAGATCCAGAACAAATTATGAGAACAGCAGGAAGATCAAGATAGTGGCGCCAGCACCCGAATCATGCTTTTAATTTAAGCATGATGGGGTCAAGACAAAGTCAGAGAAGAGTATTTGTCTACAACCGTTGCCGACAGAAGATACGTTGTGGTTTTTCTTACTTCTATTGCCGCTCCGAAGATGAAGGCTCTACCAATTTCAATTTGAAAATAACTCGACAGAAAAGGTGCGGTTGTAGCTTCTTGTTATGTTCGTGAGTGTGCACTTAGATGAGCAGCTGATGCACAATGCCGGCGAAGGTGGAGAAAGGTCACAGTCACACAGAAAACACGTCAATGAGACGCTGCCTCTTCCGAAGAAGACGAGGCGGGCGAAGATCTTCTAGTTGCTAATATCGTGGCCAGTACCCAGCGTGCTTAACGACTACGAAAGTCAGTAGCAAGCTAAAAAAGGCAAAGGAGCAGATCAACTACATCATGGCCCTGAACTCGAGCTAAGCAGTTGGTTGTTTATTTTTTATCTGTATTGGTATTTCTATTTCGACGACCGCAATGCGTTGTTCATCTTTATTCGGTGTTTGTTAACACCACGTTGACGCTCTAATTTCTCGTCATGCCTTTTTTTCTTCCAGTTCCACTGATTTTCTGCGATTCACGTAGCGAGGCTGAAAGTAAAGGCTCATTTGTTTCGAACAAACAAACAGCATACGAGTCATCAACTTCAACCTCGTACTACAACTAAAAGTATGTCCTAGAGCAAAATCTGCCACACAAGTGCCTCAATATCAATAAACAAGTATATAAAAGAGTTGTCTACGATGGTGAATCGGAATCGCGCAGCAAAAGACCAGAAGAAGGCGAGGGCACTGGGACAGCAGTTGGATTCGTCGGTGGCGAAGGACTTGCAGCACCAACTGCTATCTAGTCAGCTAGAATTTCCGTGGCAAGTAGCACTTGCCCTTGTGCACTTTGTGGTAGCTGTGGACGACCCGAGGTTCGGCCGAGAAGGAGATCGGGAAGCGCTGCGGGCACTCCTGCGCAGATACAAGGAGATATGCGGAAAGCTTCCTACTTTTTGCGACTACTTCTGGATCGGTTTCCTGGAGGATAAGTTTTCTATTTTCAGCACGCACTGGTGCAACGGTCACGTGGGCTTCCTCACGAACTATCTGGAGGACCCCGCGTTTCTCGACACGCTGCGCGCCGAGTTCGATTGGCAGCCACAACCGCAAAAATATCACGAAGGCGGGGACAGTAAGAATAGTTGTTGGTGGGCCACGGGGCTCTCCCTTCGGTGGACCCTGATTGCTATTGCGTGTTCGCAATACGAGTTTGGGTTCAGTCCGGGTTTGGTCCATTGGCTGCTCACAGATGGAGGTGAGGGTACGGACATCACGCACGAGTGTGATGCGACATATTTGGATGCTGCCCGAAACTGCACCTTGCTGCACATCTTGCCCCGTCTCCATCATATCGGCGGGGTTTCCGATTTCGCGTCATTTTCAGGGATGATGGTTACTCATGGGCGTGACTCCGCAGGAAGTGTTGTGCAAGAAAGTGCTGCGCTAAGACTGCCTGGCACTTCTACAGCAGCGACACCATCTCGCGCAGCAGCTTCAGGGGGCAGTGACACAGGGCACGCGGCATCGTCGGACGTTGCAGGAGAAGGAGTCGAAGCTGCTACCACGATGATTGATACCGCGTTGGGGCTCCTAGAGTTTCTTCTGAAAAAGCACCCGGCGCCCCGGGGGTGTGTCGATGTCCGTGGCTGCGGAGATCGCCGCACCCCGATGCACCACGCCGGATTTTTGAATAATGCAGCGGCGACGCGAATGTTGTTGGAGCACGGGGCCTCCATCGCCGCCCGAGATGCGGGGGGCTTCCTCCCGCATCATTACATGGAGCACGCTGATGTCGTTGGAAGAATGGTGGAGCGAAAACTAGGAGCCAAGACCAAGCCATCTGCCCCTGCTGAAATGCAGCGCGTGCTTGTTGGTTCACAGCAGGCGCAGGCATTCCTTGCGCTGAAGCGCGAGGAGACTGGTGAGGCGCAAGGCGGGCGTGGCGAGGATGCAATGCCTCCTGCAGTGAGGCTGGCGTGTAGCATATTCGAGGGCATCAGCATGTCTAGCAAAAATTCCCAAGGCTCTGAAGAGCACAAGAGCGTCAGCAAAGGCGGAGCGACTGCGCAACTTCCTGCTATTTCGGTCTCTGCGTTGCTTTTTGGCTGCTCGCAAAAAAAAGTTGAGGAGGATGGCAAGGGAACGTTCGTTCGCGCTCTCTTTCATGTGACCACGCAGCCTGAGTACGCGGCCCAGCTTCTTGGAAGCCTCATCACCAAGCTGCAGAAGGACCTGGATTCGGCGTGTGGCTCGAGAAGGGCGGGGCAGAATGAAAAAAGCACTGGAAGCCACAGCCTTTCAGAGGATATATTCCTCGGCTCCTCGTCCGATGGTGGTGCCGAGGACTCGAGCCGGTTCACTTGTGCAACGGTTGGTGTGGTGCAACGTGCTTTTTGCTGATCGAGAACAGCGATTAGAGCAGATTCTGAAACGGTACCACGATTCCGACATTCGCCACGGCGAGCTGCTGGCGGCGGTGGTTGACGCTTTGTTGTCTTGCCAACTTCTCGATGTTGCATTCACAGAACGATGGGTTCAGGGCCTGATCGAGGAGTCGAAGCGGCATTTGCTGCGCGAGCGCAAGACGAGGAAACGTGTGGGGAGCGCCACGTCCTCACGCACGCACGCTACGTCGTTCGTGCCCCGTTTAGAAGACGGAGATGAAGAACCGCAAAGTCGAGCATCGCAATTGTGCGCCGTAGCCTGTATGGCCAACTCCACCTTCGCATTCTGGATAAAAAACGACAAAATCGATTGTCTTCGGTCCCTGGAGCAAGGCGTGCAGTACTCCGGTGGCAGTATCGACGCGTCGAATCTGCCCGACAGTGTGATCCAATTTCTGAAGTCACTGGTTGCGGATCCCCATGTGCATCCCCACGAACGAAAACGCGCTGAGAAGTTACTCGGCAGTGAAAAGAAATGTAATTTGCTGGACCGAACGTCTGTCGCATTCGGCGGGTATAACTTTAGCGACCTCGAGCGGCGCTGCAGTGAGAAGGTCGGAGTTTCTTTCCAGGAGCTGGTCGACGACAACGCTGGCTCGACCCATGCTGCGCTCGTGAAAATAATGGACCTCGATCTGCGGGCGAAACCGAAAACCGGGACGAAGTGGTCGTCTGGTGCCAGCGTGAACACTGCGCAAACACCATCTTCGTCAACCGCACCTGCGGGCGGGGACCAGCTCGCCGCTGGTATGCGGGAGAGTCTCCGCGAGGTCAGCAAATTGGCGGAGTTCGCCTCGCGACACGGACACCAGGCATTTCGGACCAAAAGTCTGTCGCAACAACACGACGAGCTGGCAGGAAGAATGCGCGCGATCAACCTGTTTCGCTTTCACCCTGGTGGCCGCGTCGTCGACCTTACTGGCGAGGAAATTGACACCTACCATCGTTTGAAGGAGCAGCGATGGGAAGTGATTGAAAAGCTTTACGCGGAACAGTTGCAGGCTTTGCGCACCGAAGAACATCGCGGCACGTCGGTGGCAGCATCTCAAACTACGTCTGCTGGGGCAGCTGCACTTCCACTCTCTCACAGCGATCGCGAACCGACAGACCCTCAGGTTGAGATTGGATTGAAAGAGCGAGGTCAAGAAAGGGCTAGCACGACTTGCAAAGAAACTAGTACCTCCCCAACATTCTGCACGCGCACGACATGCACGAAAGGGCGAAAAGCGAAGAAAAAGCGAAGCTCCGTCGACGAAACTGAAACTGGCAGAAAACGCGTCGATGCTGTAATGCTTGTCGCTGACACCATCAAGGCGAAGCAGGAACACAGATATCGCATCAAATGTATGCTCTACGATACGTTGCATTTCTACAAGCGCACTTTCATGCTTCCATCCGTCGAAACACTGATGGTGGGAGAGGGAGTTACTTCGAACGCGGCCGACACATTGGATCACGGCAAGACCCAGATCAGCTTCTGTCTGGATAAATGGGTCGACTTTATCGTAGACTGCGAAAACGATTCCTTTTTCCGCATCTGCCTGTTGTGGTTCTGGCCATGTAGTCCGAAGACGGACTTAGCTTGGAGCAGATTTGTTGAGGCAGCGCGTCATGATCGCTCGAAAGGTGGAGCCCGTCGTGGCACCACGACCAGCGTAGATGCATCTGAAGATGACATCAGAGTCCGCCCCTGTGCGTTCGTGGACAGCACCAGAAATGATGAAGCTTTGCGCGAGCGACTGGATTCGGAATTGGCCTCCTGTATGTACGCGTGGCGGAACTTGCTGGCTGGGCGATTCCGTGCTGCAGCTTCGGTGTGCCGCGACATCACGAAACACCTCAGACTGACGTGCCCGTCGGTGTTTCTCTGCGAGTGCTTTGCCTTGCTGATACTGCGCTGCCAGGTGCAGACCGAGGAGGAGTTTGACGCAATCTCCCCGGGGAGAACCTGGTCCGACGCGGCAGCGGATTTGCGGGGGACAAAGGTCGGGAAAGCGGTCATTGTCCAACAATTTTCCGAGACGCTCCGAACGCTCGACAGATACGCAGCTGCGGTGTGCCTGCTGCTCTACCGAAGTTCCAAAAGAAAGGCCATCTTGCACTTCGTCACGTCGGGAGACGAGATGTCGGCGGGCCCCGGTCGCTATCTCATCCAGCAAACGTTGTTCGCTGTTTGGGCGGTCGCCATGAAAGAACACTTCTGGGGAGACGCAGATAAGGGAATGGCCGAAGCAATGGCGCCGGCCGTTGAATCGTTTGAAGAACAGGTGGAACAACAAGGCAAGGACGAAATAAAAGGCACGAAAGCTACTGCAAAGTCGAAAGCGCAACGCGATTTCGAGAAGAAGAATGCCCTCGAGATTGCAACCCTTACGCGGCACGATGGCGTGTGGAACATCACGCCCGACCTGGTCGTGTATTCGCAAGATCCCCGAGTCAAGCGCATCTCGGATGACACCTTCGCAGCGATCCACCCGGATTTGGAGCTCTCCGATGAGCTGCGAGCCGAGTTTTCCGCTGCATTGGAGAAGGGTATGTGCGCGAAGCAACATAAGGCGAACGGAGTCAAGTTCCTTTCCAATGGCGTCGCGGAGCTGAAGATCAACGGAGATACCCGGCTCTGGACATCCACGAAGTACAAAGAACACAAGCAGGAAAGGTATGCTGTGCAGAAATCTCTATACCCCGCGACCAGACCTTTGAAAATGTCCATGCACCTCTACATAGCAAAGAATGTTTTGTTTTTTTGCTGATTTCCATGGCACAATGAATTTGCATCTTTGTCTTTGAATTTTCCCGGGGTAGTTTTGAACGTTTTTGCACAGGATATTTTTAAGGACGTCGATGACCCCCTGCAGGAAGCGAAAGTCCGCAAGACACTCTTGCTTTTCGATCATGAGGACAACCATGGTGGAGTGCGGCGGGCGGTAGAGCTTCAGAAGAGCGGTAATATGAAAGAGGTGCTGTGTGACCAACCGCAGCAGACCGACGAGGTGCGGTGTGGCGACATCAACCGGAAAAAGGCAGAAGTTCGCAGCATTTTCAACAGCGTGATGACTGGGCGCCCGCGCTTTGTTCGGGATGCGCTAGGGATCGAGCCAGATGCGACGGTTGAAGAAGCGTGCCCGATTCAGTAAATATTTTCGTAAACATAAAAAAAGCTTTCGCTGTCGTTCCCACCTTCTACTGTCTTCGCAGTTCCTAGCTACGGAATCCAAGCAATATTCACATCAATACAACCTCGAGCTACAACTGCAGTATTCACACTCGATACTCATGTCAAGCTCAAGTTACAACTGGTGCGCAATTTTATATTCCGTCGTTTCGTCTGACAACCTCGTCAGCGAGAATCTTCTACTTTTAGCGAAAACGACAAAAGATCTGAGCAGAGTCGCACTCTCCGTCTCCAAAGAGGACAGTGCGTAGTCCCACTTTCATTGACAGCGAAGGGTAGTTGTTTAATGAACAAGTACTCAAACGTCCGCCTCCGCGTCCCCTAGAATTTTCCCATTGGTACTATAATTTCGAGGTCGACTTTCAGTTCGAGCTTCATACTACCCCAAGCAGCAGCAGCCGCACGCTCGCGCAGCGTGTTCGACGTCTTCATCACAAAGCGGTAATGTCCTCTGACTGAAGATGAAAAAGAAGAAGATCATCATCAGATGCAAGAGCCCCATACAGATCCCTAGTGTCAGTCACAACATGATGGAGGGATGCAAAAAAAAATCCTGGTTGATCCGAAGTTCTCATACCGCGTTTTTTCCCTCAACGATTTGGCGTGCTGGTGTCGGTTTGGAGCACCACGACGTTTTGATTTACAGTGAGGAAGTAAAGAAGATCATGACGACTTCTCTTTTGTGCTGTGATGAATTTGCTTATGAATTTGTGCGTGCGTTTCGTGTCCGTCTTCTGCTTCTCCCTTTGTTGACATAAAGCTAAAGATGTCGGGAAGTAGAAAACGTAAAAAGGGAACCCAAACGGCCGACGGGAAAGTTGGTTTGTTCTCCGCTTCAATTCTCGACCACGCGTTGACTAGCCGCGCTTTGAAGGACTGGATATCGGACCTAACTACCCTCGCTGCTTGGGACCTTGCTTTCGAATTGTTTCATTTTGTTAAGGCCGTTGACGACCCCACCTTCCAACACTCAGAAGACCAGCGTGCCCTCGCGATGCTGATCCAGGCCTACGACGAGGTCGCGGGGCCGCTTCCGACGTTTCAGGATTACTTTTTCGTGGGGTCCATGGAAAGTTTTGGCCGCTCAATCCTGCAGTCGGGGAGCGAAATGGCGTCAACGTCAGACGCCGAGTACAGTGACTGGCACCTGCACCAGAAACTTTCTCGCCCCGACGGACTTGCCGCGTTGAGAAAGAAGTGGAGGATACAGGATGACAACCACGCGAGGAAAGTCCATTTGCCGTGGTGTGAGGATCTGTCGATGCGTTGGAGTCTGGTGGCGATCGCGTGCTCAAGATACGAAACTACCTTTTGCCCAGGTCTTGTCCATTGGCTGTTGACGTCGCCAGCTGCAGAGTGCTTCGACACGACGAAAGAGGCGAGCACCGGCGAGCACCATTGTATTCAAACCACTTTTCTTGATGCAGACAAAAATCACACACTCCTGCACGTTCTCGCGGGAGTTGCTGCAGCCGCGGGGGATGCTCAAGAGAACAAGAAAGGTGCGGGTACTGGTGCTACGACGGGGACCTCCGCGGAGCAGCAACACGTATCAGCACCAGCAGAGAAAATTCGTGTACAAACTGCAGCTGACCTGCTGGAGTTTCTCTTCCGGAAATATCCGCAGCTCGACCCCAACGTGAGGGGGCAGCAGGACGGGCGAACGCCCCTCCACCACGCATTGTTGAAGGGTGGGAACGTCCAGGCCGCACGAATCTTGCTGAAGAACGGCGCTATGACCAACTATCAAATGGAAATGAAGAAGTAACCCTATTGTACACATGATCAGCATATGGACTAACCGATTCCTCGGAAACAGGTAAGTACATTGGAACTCCTTACTCGTGGTAGTATATGATGTTTGCTCGACATACGCGCTCGCGATGCTAACATCGTGAAGTCTGATGTTCCCATGTCTGGTGCGCGGCAGTGTAGTACGGTTTACAAACTTGTATTGCATATCACCGTTCCTGATGCCGCAAACTTCTATCCTCATCACTACCTGATGCTGGGCAAGGAGCTTGAAGAAATGAACGTGGCTACGCGCACGGGTAGTAATACGCATTGGGAAATACCTGTGTCGTCGACCGCGGAAACTCCAGTGGGCGTTGTGCAGACGGATGGAACAGCCGGGGATCTGCAGCGCGCCATCCTTGAGGCGGGAGGACAACAGGCGCGAGACTTCCTAGCCCTGTTGCGCGCCGAGCGTGAAAACCATGAGAACGCGACGGGCTCTGCGAGAGGGCAAGGCACGTCGTCGCGGGTGTATGCGCTACTCCAAGCAATGACGGAGAACATCCTGCGAGGCGGGCGGGCGAAGAGCGAGCGGGCTCCACTTTTGCCGCCCGTCGGGGCATTTTATGCGTCGGCGCCGAGCCGCACAGCCGCAACGCTGACTGGTCCCCACGAGTCCGCTCGTGGGCAGTACGTTCGTGCTCTGTTCTTCTACGCGTCGAAACCTGTTCTCGCCGCGCGCTGCCTGGATGTGTCTATTGAAACACTGTGGAACGCGTTGCTGCGAGAGCTAGAAAAAGAACCGGAGGGGGGCGTCGGCGCGCGCCGGTGCGTGACGGAACTCGGAAAAAAAAATGCACTCTGTGTCGACCGCGACCAGCGGTTTGAAAAAATTCTGGATTCGCTGGGCCCGGAACAGGACCTCCGCCGCGCGATATTTCTAGAAGCTCTTGTTTATGCTCTGCAAAAGTGTCGCTGCCCCGAAGAATAGCACTGGTTGCAAATCTACTTACGTCACTCACTTACTTTTTTGTATTAGTAAGTTGTCTTAGATGAATGAGATGATCAAATAGAGAGACTAGAAATGCAACTCGTACGCAGTGGCAGTGGGAACGACTCTTTTGTAAAACAAGTATATTTTTCATTCTGCAGCATATCACGAGCTCGCGGACACAGTCGCACGGCTCAATGCCAGTCAGCTCACCCTGACTGAACACCTTGCCAAAGAAGAGCGCAAGACGAAGGCGTCAGTAAAGCAGTGCGGCGCCGGGAAGGGCACGAACACGACGAAAGATAAAGCATATGAGAAAAAGAAAAATTTTGCGCCGTCTAACGATAAGCTGTCAACAACAACAAATGACAAGGTCGATTCCAGTTGTATCAGAGAGAGCCATGTATTTCGCAATCGCGCTGCAGTACTTTATCGGCGTGCATGCTTGATGCAGTTTGGCCTTTTTGATGCAAATGAAGTGCAGATGCAGAAGGAAAAGGACGACAACAAGAGGAACGACAACAAGAAAAACGCCCTTCACTGCCTCGACTGCTTCGTCAACAGCTGCCACGATGAGACGACCGGCGCCACAGGAGCTGCCCCTGAAGAGATTCGCCAGCAGCTACCTTCGAACGCAGTGAATTTTTTGAAAGCAACGGCCCTGGACCCCACACTCCCGGCGCACATGAGAAGCAAAGCAGAACGTCTGCTGGGTGAGGGGGGATGCAGTTTGCTGGATCGAACTTTTTTGTCGTTTCATGCCGAAGACAAACGAGACGCCGACCGTGCCGACTTCGCGATTCTACGCGAGGAAACAACCTCCAAGGGGTCGTCTTCCCCGGATGACGAGTTCGCTTCAACAGTTGCGGCATCGTCCTTGACGATGAACACCAAGGAAAGTACAAGTAGCAGCACCAGTGAGCAGCTGACATCGGCAGCTCCAGATTATTCCCCTGCGTGGCGCGACGCCATTTTTTCGGGAGCCGAAGTAGACGAACGAGCAGACGCCCACGATCCCTTGAAGATGACGGGCGCGCTATTGCAAATGCACACGCGCTGGGAACGGGCGCGTGCAGCGGCAGGGAAGAAGCGTGATTTCACAGACATCAAGCAGCAACTCAAAGGGCTCTCCGAGGCTATTGTGGTGGATGCTCGACACGGCCATCAACAGTTGAAAAAGAAGAACTGGGACGAACAGCTGGCCGACCTGCGGGGCAAGACGCGCGCCATTCTGTTCGAGCGGGGTAAATCAGTGATGGAGGGAGAAGGTGGAGTGACCGTTCTGTCCGAGCAGAAACTAGACGAGTACGTTTCCCTGAAAGCTCAGTCGTTCGGGGTACTCCATCGGGCGTACGAAGACAGTGCAGCGAAAACCTCCGGGCCGCAGGCCGGGAAACTCGGCGAAGGTGAGAACGGGGAAGGGGCTGTAGCAGGCGAGGCTGGTCCGGCAGTTGGTGCGGGTGAAAAGAAGAAGAAAAGGAGCCGCGCGAACAAGAAGAGAAAAGGCAAAACTAAGACCGCCGGAGGTAAAAAGGCTAGTAGCACCGAAGATACTAGTAAAATGAACGAAGCCACTCTTCAAGCGAACCATGATAGTCGCGCGGATGACGAAGACGCTGTGTTGAGGTCCATTGACGCAAAGCTGCAGCAAGAATCGCGGATCAAAGGTTACCTGCAAGACAGTGCGTTGTTCACCGCCAGTTTCTTCATCATGCCAGAAGACGACCATTCTCCCGATCGTGTGGTGGACGCGCACCAACTTCTGCTCCTAACAGGTTACGACATGAGTCTGTGTGAACGAGCCTGGCCTGAGTGCATCGACCTTGACAACGACCCTTTCTATACCCTTTTCGTTCTGATGTACGCGCAGCCCCCGGGACCTCGAACGGACGCAGTCTGGGGACGATATCTGCAGGAAATGCAGGACGGAAAACAAACGTCCCAGCGCTCTTACTACGCTTCCGGCCAAAAAGATCACTTTTTGCGGTCGACCGTACTTGATCCAGGAACTGTGTGCAGTATCTACGCCTGGCGCAATCTGTTGACCGGTCCACACCGCCTTGCGGCCACCTCAGCGATTTGCCGGGACATTGCTACGTGCTTGCGGCTTCGAACCAGTTCCGTGTTTTTCTGCGAGTTTCTCGCACTACTTCTTGCAGTCGATGAGCAGCGCAATGAAGAGAACCCGCCCCCCTTGTCCTCGAGAACGCCTTCCGACGCCGCGGACGACCTGCGACGCTCCTTGTGGGGAAGAAAGGTGATGACAGAGAGTGATGCACAGACGCTGCGCGCGCTGGAATTAGACTCGACGCCAGCACGGATCTTCGTCATCCGGGCCATCAAATCGAAAGACATTTTGTTTTACGTATTACCGGAGATGGACAGCAGCAGGGCCAGCTACAGAACGCACTTTATCACATGCAGTTTGCATGCTATGCGCCTCATCGCCCTACAGCTTCGAACGTTCGGGGACCCTGACTACGGAAGAACTCCGGACAACGAACCTGCTCCCATTCTGGAGGGCTGCGGAGGTAAAAAGGCTCTGGAGACGAAAGAGGCCCAGGCCCTTTATGCGGAGGTGCAAAGACGCGCGCAACAGGATAGCGAGTGGTACATTCCGGAGTACGATCTCATACTGTATTCCCAAGACAGTAGGATGGTATTTCGCGTCGACGAGGGCGTCTACGCGACCCTCGGGCCGAACCTGAAGCTCTCCGCCGAGCTGCAGGAAGAGTTTTCGAATGCATTGAAGAAGGGTTTGGCCTCGCGGGAGAAAAAGGCGAACGGCGTCAAGTTCATCGGCGGTATTGCGGAATTGAAAATCAATGGCGACGACCGGCTCTGGACGGACACCCGGTATTTTGAGTGCAAACAGACTGCCGAAAAGCAAAGAAAATCCTTCGCCGGCTGTGGCGCAGCGGCCAGCAGTTCCGCGTCTTCGACGGGACAAAACAAGCCAAAGATCCTCCTTGTTTTTGACCACGACGACAACCACATCGGGGTCAAGCGTGTTGCAGAGCAGAGTCGGGAAATGAGGGATGTCGAGTGCCCGCCCGCTCCGAAGCGGCAGATGCTGGCCAGCATTAATGAAAAGCGCGCAGCGATGGAAACCTGCTTCAACCGAGTGAAAGCCTATCCGACTTTCGTCGGAGAGGCCCTGGGCCTGCGTGAAGATCAAAAAACTTTTGAAGATGCTTGCTGCCACCAGTAAGAAAGAAGGGCAGTTGCATGCGTCTAAACAAAAAAAGACCTCCTCCAGCTCGTGGAACGGCCTGGCTTTGAGCTACTTTTGGCATTTCGACGTAGTCCTTCTGTTCTGCTGTCAACGTGTATTACAAGATATCCTTCTGTTGAGATGCGGCCCGCTGTTCGTTTCCGCGTGTACTACACTTAGGTCGGTTTTCTTCTCGCCTCAAAGTGTCTTTTCTACATTTTGATTCTGTCTTCATCAAAGTCCGTTGTTTATCGTGATCTGCTTGTCCACAATCCGTGCGAGGAGGAGGTGGAGCAACGGGGAGAGAGAAAGAGAGAGGGAGAAAGAGAGCAGAATGTGGACGAAGAGTAGTGAGAGAGGGGGAGCGAGGACGACAAACTGCGGCGGGCGCATAATGACGTTTGCAAAAGAGTTTCTCTTCTGGTAGTATACAAATGTGTTTGCTTGTGGGCAGTTACAGGACGCTCACGTGCGAGGTGAATCATGGCAAGGCTCGGCCGCGATATCGGGACCACGCCCGAAACCCTGAGGACAAGAGCTATCCCTTCTGTGGGTCGGCTCAGTTCGACGGGTTGACGATGCGAAGCGAGGCCATCGAGAAGCGGCGGAGTGGCCTCCGGTCCCGACCACTGCCCGGAATTACGACGGTGGTGCTGCGTGGGGCAGCGGTCTCGTGGCGAACGTCCAAGGGGCCACTTCACGACGCGGTATCTAAACTGTATCCGCCGACTGGGTGTAGGATTGATTGATTGTGTTTTTGGCGCATTTTTTCCTCGTGTAGGACGAGTAAGTGACTCAGGCTTATTGAAGCTTCGTTGATCATGTGCAAATCCAAAGTCGGCGGTTGGCATCATGATGTTGTAGATGTACTTTTATACTTTACTTTACTAAACTATATTTTTGCAGGTACTGATGCCCCTCGTCGACTCTATGGCGTCTATAGAAGTGACGAGCAGGGAGGTTCGGTCGGCTGCGAGAGACCACCTGGAGTGGTATATCCTGGCGAGCAGACTCCTCCAGCTGCTGCAGATTGCGCTGGAGGATGTCGCACTGCCAGGGCAGGTTATGGCAATGGAGCTGGGCCCGGTATTGATCCATCCTCATCCTTTTGCCAGGACGACTGCGCCGCGCTGCGGCGGTTCGTCCTGGCGGGGCGCGAGACTTCCCGCGCAGACTTCCGCAGCCTGTGACGGCGAAGTGGCTGAGCCGCATGACGGCGCGGAAGCAAGGCGGCGGGGCTACGCGACCGGTATGGGCCCCCCCAGCTGTCGCCCGGGTGGCGCAGGCTTTGCGGCGCGGGCGCGCGGTGTGTCTTTCTTGTCTGCCGTGCCCGTGGGGCCCCGCCCGCCCCGCCCGGGGCCGGCAAGGAAGTGGCCCCAGGGCTGCTTCCCGCATTTGGAAGCTTGCAAAACCCCACGGCGCCGAGGCCAGCCGGGGCGGGCGCGGCGCATTCATTCCGCCCTTAGGCCCGTTGCCAGGACTACAGCCTCCACCACTGTAGCCGGGCCGGGGGTGTGTTTGCTCTTTGTTCCAAACATATCCGGTGGCCCGGGCGCCTCCCAATTCTGTACTCAGATACACATCGAATTCTCGTCTCAGGACGAGGCGTGTGCGCGTGTAGTTTGTTCAGCGATGGGTTACGAGTTCTGAAGGTGAGGCCGCAAAATTCTTCCTTCTGCTGAGCGTTGGCGCATTGAGGGCAGGGGCGTGACGAGGGATGATTGAGTAAGAGAATGGCGAAAGAGATTCTATTGCAGCGTCACCAGGCCGAACTAGTGGCTGCAATGTGTTTCACGAGGGAGGTCTCGAAAACGAGATTCTTGTGTCCATCCCCGCACAGCACACAACATCGAAGTAAATGCAGGCTGTGGCTGTCGTCGGTCTGCATTGAAATGAAATTGATACCACGAATCTCTCCCTCTGTTATGATGGCGCCAGCCTCAGTTGGTAGCGAGTCCGAGAGCGCCAACTCTCCCGCAGAGGACCGGCCGATTTCGCTGACCGCGAAGCGTAGCACTATCGCACTCGCAACTGAGGCTCCGTTACAACCGGCGAAGCCAAGACCGACCGAGCGCGAGAAAAGTCTCTCACTTGAGCAACCGGGCTTGCGCACTAGTAGTTCCTGTTCGGTCGCCGTCGCGGGGCCGCGGACCCGAAATACCACTCCTGCTGGTGCGTCTCTCTTTCCGCGTTCCACGTGGGCTGCAATCACAACTCCTGCCTCTGCGCAAGCGGACGGGAATTCTAGCGGAACAGGAAAAGGTAGGCAACAGCCACGCGTCTCGGCACCTGCGTTTTCATCCTCCGGACGACCAGGTTCTTCTCAGGATGCATATGCAAAGAAGTACGCTACAAACGACGTCACGACGACAAATCGCAGCACCACCGCGTCGACTTCTACTACACAACCAGTAGAACATCAACAGCATGAGAAAGAGAATGCAGAAGCGGCTGGGATAGGGATGAACCGCATAACGTCCACTCTCACTCCCGAGTTCGTCCGCCCGTCGCCTGTTTTGGACGAAGACGAGCTTGATGAAGTTGTTGCGGCTGCAGTCGATGTACAGAGCCCTCAGGAAGAATTTTCTGAACTACGCGCTCAGGAGTTTCTTGACAGAGCTGAGGACGACGATGCGGAGCATGTTCTTGCCGTCGAAGTCGTCGAACAAGGTGGGTTCATCGCACTTGAGGATGATGGTGACGCTATCGTCGCTGCGATTCCGCCTTCGGAGGTGTCCTCTTCAGAGGAGGAGGGCGGAATCATCGATGGTGTTGAGCCGTTTGACGGTGAAACAGGAACGGTAGATTCGACTAAGGAAGGGAGCGAGGTGCGGCTCCTCGTGCAGAACCAGATTGCAAGCGGTGAGGGATTGTTCGAAAAAGGGGACGGCGCTACAAGATCTCCTATCCTTGGTGACAAGGGTGATGAAGTAGCTGCTGCTCCTGAAGCTGCACTTCCACTTCGAACGAACAACATGATGCAGGAACAGGATCAACAGCACGAGAGCCTACCCCTCAACGAGGCGGACTGCTCTCTCGTCCCGGCGGTAAAACAAACCCGGTATTTCTCGCTCGACGGGAGTTTGCTGTTCGAGGGTCACGCACACACGGAGGTTTTTCGCCATCAGGGAGTGGGTTTGAGCACGAGGAATGCGAATAAGAAAACGAGAGCAAGTGTGGTACGCAACGAACATGCGATACAGTACGATGAAGGGGAGGAGGTGGAGGATATGGTGGCTGATGCGATCCATGTCCGACGAGAAGAGGTCGCCGAGGAGGAGAGCGCCGTTGCAGCTGGGAACAGCGGTACAGAATTCAGCGAGGACGAAGATCACGATCATGCACTCATGAAGCGACGCGAACCTTCGAAAGAAGTTATTCTGCAAGGTCGTGCCCTTGCTGCAGCTGACGGCGTAGTTGCTGAACATATCGAAGATCGCAAAGAAGACCATGTCGCCTCTTTGCACCACCGCCAGACCCGAGTTGCCGCCGCGCCTTCGGTGTTTGGCCGAGGAGAAGGGTCGAAGCTCTGCGCAGAATTGTCGCCTCGAGAACAAAAAACCAGCCCGCCGCACCAGCAGCAAGGCCGCGTTAAAACACAATATTCATCTTCCCGACTTAGTAAAGACGCAAAGGTGTTCCTCGCTCAATTTGCTGAGCCCAGCCAGAACTACGGAGCACACGCAGATGCTGGAGATGAACATGAACGGCAGCTCCCGCCATCCCGTGCTAGCCCGCCTCCTGCGAATCACGCTCGCCTGAGTTCCACCGAGAGCTCCATTGCAGCGCAGTCGAACAGTTGTTCCAGTGTGCCATCAGAAGAGTTGTTCCGGCGAGGGACAATGTGTCATGAAGAAGGAGATCAGCGCCGCCTCTCGAAAAGACAAGACGGGGAAACCCGGGAGGCCTGGTTGCTGCGGCAACGGAGTATGATGCTAGTGAAGAACGAAGAGGAGCAGCAAAATTCCCGATACAGTCCGGGAGATAACGATGCTGGCAGGAGGGGACAGGATTTGAATGCCAGTTCTCCACTCGGTCAAGTTGCTGGTCAGGAAGGTTGTCATCATGACCAAGACGGCCACGAGGACCTAGAGCAGCCGCTTCTCGATTTCAACGACTACTCTTTACTCTCATCGCATATCGATGTGGCGTCCGCTCGCTCGGGGAAATCTTCTTTTCTCGAGCTGGAAAACGAAAATGATTGCGGTCTGGAGGAAGTGGTAACGCGGTCGACGCGGCGCGTGGCGCCTATGGTGGTGGATGCAAGGAAGACACAAAAGACGACTACTACTCGTGGTTCAACTGCAAGAGCTGGGCGGAAAATCCCTGTGCACAAAAGAAGCACGAGCGAGGGTGTTGATGCTGATGCCATTGGACCACCACTAATCTCCGAAGGCTTGCAGAAGAAAGTGCTGCATCACGTCCACATTCATCACCACTATGGGACGCGCGACAAAGATAAGATGCGGGCTGTGATGGCACAAAGCAAGTTGAATGACCGCAGTGATGTTTTGTTTCACGAACACCATCACCAACAGGTAAAGATGAAAGGCACTTAAAACTGTGACGGACAACGTCGAATAAATACAGAAACAGGACCAGCAAAGAAAAAGGGCAAAGGTCGATGGTCGTCTCGCTGCTGACCAGGGAACAAGCTGTTCATGCTGTTCACTGAGTTGAAAACTTGCGTGCGATTGAGGAAGTGAGTGTGAGACGAGAGGCGGCTAGAGGTTACGGTTGTTGTGCTACTGCCGTGTTTCTTTTGTTCGCTTGTGAGCGGAGTTGCAACGCAGGAATTCGTGGGGAAAAAGTAGAGACCGACGCGACGAAGTCGGCTGCGGTGGCGCTAGTTGCTCGGCGCGTTGGCCCCTGAATGAGGGCGGGCGGCGCCGTCGGAGGTTGCGGCCTTGGAGCATGCGCCCGGCGCCGCGACCTGGCTATGGTAGGCTCGGTCGCCGTCCCGCTTTGATGTGGAGAAAAGCGCGGGCAGCCTCCCACCCTGCGGCCGGGCGCATGCTCGCAGGCAGGCCGGGGGAACGCCATGAACGTTCAACGGCGACGCCCCCTCGGCCAAGCGAGCTGGTACGTACGTAGCGCCCGGGCCCCTCTTTCCTCTGCAAGGAAGAACAGACTCCCGCTTCGTGGAACGCCTACGCCGGGAAGGATCCTTTCATCGGGAGCGGCGCCGAGGAGATGGCTCTCCCGGAGAAAGAGATCGAGAGGGCTTGGCGCGACGCAACGCGCGTGGCGTCGGAGAGCGCGCAAATGCGCGCAAGGTTCCGACTCTTGCATCTCACGCGGCAGGTCGACAAAACGGCCCCGCCCGCGCCAGATATGCCGCGCGCCCTGTTTCCCACGCGCGCCGCGGCCATTCCCGGCCCGCCGCCCCAAGAACAGGGCCGGCGGGGCGCGCGCCCCATTTTGGGCAAGGGGATGCACGTTGCCGCCGCCCCGTCCGTATGGCAGGCTGGGCTGTGCCCCAGTTGCCGCGGCGTGTGCCGTGGATGGAACGAAGGGCGGGCGGGGCAAGCAGCGAGCGGGCAAAGCGCAGTGGCAGGCGCGGCTGCAGTCGTTCGCCCGGTCGGCGTTCTTTTGGGGCCCCCCTGCCTGTGTCGGTCACGAGAGGCGATAGTGGCCCCCCGCATTTGAAGGCCTATTTGTTTTGGCGCCCGGGCGCGTGGGGCACGCGCGCTCGCGCTGCGGCTCGTCTGATCCTTCGACCAATCTTCTCTGGCCGCCGCTCTTGAGAATTGAATATCGGTTCTCACGTTGGTGCGCCATGTATGGACAAGGCCGACGTGAGGCGCACGCGCACTCAGTTTTGCCGATGAGGAAAAGGGTATGACACTCAGGTAAACCAATGTTGCCGCTCGGTGTTCTTGGCATTGCTAAAGGCTGAGCTTGCATATTGCCCGTGGTGAGATGACGAGGGAATGCCTGCTAAGGAGTGCCACGACACATTTGGGAAGAAATCTTAAGAGGCGCAATGAGTTATGGAGCTGATCAGCGTAAGCCCAAACAGCACAAACAGCAGGGCCAGGTGCTGCCCCGGGACAGGAATGACGTTTCTCCAGACCAGTGTTGAGCGATGCAAAAGCAAAGGAGCTGTTTTCGCTTGTCGGGCTCCTTTTGGCTTACGACCTTTGAATGAAAGGGTTGGCGGGTGGCGGACTTTATTATTGCAACTTCATCTTGTGTGATAGGGCCTGGACCTGGGGCGAGTAGGTGGGTCTCTTTAATCGGTCCGCATCCGGAAGATCCAAGTATGTCGCAAAACCAGTAGCATACGTACTTGCAACATTCTCGTAAATTACGATCGCACGACCCTGCGTAGCGCAGACATCTGTGAGATGATGCCGGAGCCAAGTGGAAGCTCGAGCTCCAGCAGTGGGCCAGCACCACCCGTCAGGCCCGCCGGGACCTCCGCAACTTCTTCGCACGCGCCAATCATGCACAACCAGAAGAACATCTTGAAATCCCCCCACTACCAACGTAACAAACAAAACGCGAGCGCGCAGATAGCACCGAGCCTTGCACCAGCTGGTGTTCTTGACCACCAGCGGACAACAACGCGGCCCAGGCAAACAACGGCACGCGGCTCCTCTGCTGGTGGTTCCCCTGTTTTAGATGCAGTGCTCTCCACGACCGCGTCCACGAGACCAGCTGCTGGCGCGGCCAAACGCAGCACGCCTGTGATATCGCCTCCCAAGTCAGCAATGGCTTCCTCGCGACAGAACAAAACCACATCAACCGGAAGAGGACAGCACAACAACACTACATCAGGAGGGGGTCCTCGTATTGGCCCAACTACTACGACCTCCGCGTCTGGCAGCAGCCACCACCGCCAGTCCTCAGCACTCTCCGAGGCCAACCGCCGCGTTGCGTTTTTCCAGGGGAAGCTGGTGAGACTGGGGAAGGCCTTCGCGGACATGGTGCGGAAAGCGGACCAGGAAACGTGTCGGAACGCGCATCTGGAAGCCAAGGTGCAGTTCCAAGCCATGCAGCTCGAGTACCTGTTTGAGCAGAGATTCGGCACTAGTAGCGGAGATGACCAGGGAGGCGGTGGAAGTAATAAGAGTGACCCGATGAACAGCGGGCAGGGGCAGACAAAAGCAGTGGAGGAACTGAAAGACTTGATGAAAAACTACATGAAGCAGTTTCAGGAGGTAAAAACTTCAATTCGTCTTGTAGATCTCAAAGAAACACTGACCATTGAAATTGATGCCTTTTGAACGTCCAGCGCAATCTGACGCACAGGCACTTCACCTCCACCCTCGCAATGTTTTTTCTCCGTATGAGCACTGCCATCATAATTTACTGTCAACACTTCATCAGGCCGAAGACGCCCGGCTCGATGCCTGTCGACAAGACGCTGCGAGCGCGCAAAGGACCTTTTCCCAGTGCTGGATGGACCGCGTGGAATCCTCTTCTCCGAGCAAGCGGGCCCGCGGCGGTTGTGCCTCGGAAATGAGTCATCCGTTCGCGAGCTTAACGGTTGGTGAGTATCTGCAGCCGCGGTGGAAGCGACTTTCGAAACCAAGTGCTCCGGGGCCGCTGGATCAGCAGCTATTTCATCTCGCAGGTCGTGGCGGAGATTTTTATGGCTCTTCTGGTATGATGCAACAAGGTCAAGGAGGTAGCGTGCCCAGTTCTAAAGTCAACTTGAACAGCGCTGCACACCATGAACGACCAGGGGGGCGGAGTGCTAAAACTGCTGGCAGTAATACAAGCACCTTTATTCCCGCGCGATCAGGCACGACGGGCGCGTTGTTGCCGTCGAGGAAGCTTTCAGTCTCCGCAATTAGCGAAGAGGATGAAATGGAGATGATGCAAGAAGCTAATCCGGGGAGTTCGAGTTCTTCTTCTTGTGCATTTCGGGATGCCTCACCGCCAAAAGATAAAGCAGGTGGTGTACTAAAGGCAAAGCCTGCAGATGCAACAGCGATGAAAACTGAACCTTCAAACAGTTCCTCTTCGGCACCAGCGGCTCCGCCCTATCCTGGAAGTGGTGGAAGTGCACGGACCACAGAGGAAGCAAAGCCAGCACGTGAAGTTGTAGATCCGGGGTCCGTCGACAGCAGGCTTTTCGTCTCGAATGAGAAACGGCCGGGCACTGCGGGTGATCTTCGGAATTCCGCTAATTCCTCCCCAGTTTCCGCGATCAAACGCATGGACTTGCGGGATGCGGATGAAATAATAACCGGACTCTCTCCAGATAAAGATGAACATCATCAGAAGGATTTCCCGCAGCCGAAGCGGCGGGCATCGGACCTGGCGCCGCCGTCCTTGCCGGTGGTCGTGGGGAGCTGTGTGGTCAACAAGGGAGATGATGAGAGCTCTTCTTGCTTGTTAGAATCCGGCGACGGTGTAGCAACATCTGCAAAAGAAGAAGTCATGGGCCACCCGCCCCACACTACTGTCACAGTAGAGTCTGGTACAAGCACAACTTCTTCTTCGTCCTCAAGTTCATCGATCTCGCCAGCCGCAAAATTTTCAGCGGCGATGACGACGGGGTACAAAGCACTTTTCGGGGCGATGTTTTCCTCTGGAGCTACAGGGTCCGCATCTTCTGCTGAAGGGGCAGCTAGTGAAGACCATGTGACAGCACAGGAGGATGACGTACACGTAGATGAAAAGGAGCCGAAGCCACGAAGTTCCGACTCGTCGAACAGCAGTAAAGGTGCGCAAGAGCCGATGTCCTCGAGTACGACGTTGGAGCAGGATGGAGGAGAAGACGAAGACAATTTCACTTCCACTTCCGGTGTCCCTTCCTCCAGTGAGATGAAAAGCGAGACAAGGACAGAGAATGATGGGAATGCAGCCCCACGACCTCCTCCAGGAGAGCAAGCACGAGCACCTGGCAACATTCCTCCAGCTCCGAAGACGAGAACCTCCAACGGCCCTCGCCCGCCGCCGACGCCCGGACTGGCGATCAGCTGCTCGCCAATGGAAGAAGTTCTTGTGGATGGGAGTCATCTTCAAGAACTTAATGCTATTCCTGCATTAAACAGCACAACTATTTCGGACAGTGCCCGCTCCTCCGCACTCAGTGCCGCATCCTCTTCCACGCACACCCGAGATCCCTCGCCCTCCAAAATCTCCCAGCAGTTGAGCGGCTACTTGCACAAACTCCCGGTATCTGCCGCGAAGACGATGAATTCTCCAGAAGTTGTGTCAAAACAGGCGCGGGACTCTTTGAATTCGAATCTTTCTGGTCTCTCGCCGGACAAGGAACTGCAGGAGTTGCATCTTCAAAACCAAGAACCTCTGAAGAGCGCGAGACAAACGCCGATGCACGTGAAGGAGCAGTTGAAGGGTTTGTTGATCAATCCAAAGAACCGGAGTTCGAAAAATTCCGTCGTGAATTCCCAAAGCAACTCGAAAGAAACGACCCCGCGAGAGGTTGAAACTACAACAAGCAGTAAAAATGTAGATCCTGGTGTAGAAGCAGCAGCAGCAGATGTCAAAAAAGGCGTAGAGAGAACGCTCTTTGCAACCGCGGTGGCGGGACCTGGGGTCACGATAGCGCCGGGAAGTGGAGGAACCGGAGCACGTACAGCAGGTGGTGCTCCTGCTGAAAGTCAACATCTGTACATCAACGCAGAGCAGCAGTCCGTCTCCTCGCTCGCCAGCTCTGCGATGTCTTTGTCACGCCCCGGGTCAGATCGGGAAACCTCTTCTCTTCAAACCGGCGGCGCGGTAGTGCAACAACTAGGTCGTGGTGCTCCACCACGCGAAGAAGATTCATCGCCGGTGGATGTTGATCCACCAGATGTTGCTGGTACAGTTGATCACGAAGATGATGATTTTGGCATACCGAAACAGGCGGGATTTTCAGCTTCAAGCCCCCTTGCGGAAGATCTTGATCACGATCACGTTCTCATGTCCGCACGCCGAGCCATCGCACGAAGCGAAGAGATCGAAACCAGGAGAAAGGCGGAAGAGCAGGGAGACGCTGAAGCTGCCTTGGGGCAGCTGAAAGAGGTCGCAAAGGTGGAATTTAACCACTGACCTGAAGCTGCTGCGAGCAACTGCTTTGTAGAATTTCAATTTTTCGTTTCGGAGCTATTCGTCCTTTGTCGCATTCAGTCACACTCACACATAGCATCATGCGTCTCTCTTCCGGAGTCAGTTTTTCAAAGCGGCATACGTAAACGCAAAAAAAAATCTTTGGGATAAACTGGTGAGACTTCTACTACAGACATTTTGCGTGGAAGATCAAAATCAAATCTGCTCGTGCTCCGAAAATTCAAATGCAGAAAGTTAAGAAGCTCGTGTTTTGTTCGTTCGGTGAGAAAATGGATCCAGTCGACGTCTACTCGCTGTCTAAACATAACTCTAGCAAAGCTGTCACAGATCAAAATCAGAAGCAGAAGGATCGTACAACTAGAGGAAATGCATAGAAGGATCTTCAAAGCAAGTGCGAGCTCTCACACTTCGCCCTCCCTCGTCAACATAATGTCTTCATCTCTCTTATCATTATCTATCAGGTTAGGTCCTCATGGTCGTGTAGAAGTAGAGGATCTGTTACAACCTTGCGGTCACAATTAAACCCTACCTGCCTGTCACGGTGCAAGACAAAAAACGATCCGTAAAGAAAGTTTAATATACAGAAATAAGTACATACTTAGAACCGCCGAGTAGAAGTAGAGAAACTTGAAGTAGGACTTTAATACATCCATCCTATTCTAATTTTTCGAGAAGACCACTCCTTCTAGTACCTTGCGCTACAACCAAAACCAATCACCACAAATCTTTCCACTTTACATCGAACCATTATAGGGCTGCGGGACACGACAAAGGTGGATTTTGGACACATAAGTACGCGCTACTTGAGCACATCACCGTTTGTTTCCACGGTATTTACATTGTGCTGTGTCCATACACCGAATCTATCTTCTTGAGGCCAGGTGGTCTATCTTCACTGTGCTTTCAAAAAAACTGCTGCTGCAAAAATGTCGTGGCGTGCGGAGTCGCAATTTGTCACTCAGCAGCAGGTATCAAATGCAAAAATGTCTGGGTCTGGAAGGTTGGAACTTGTGATGCAAACTCTGGAACACACAAAAACTTGTGTTGCATGAGCGCCAAAAGCTGTCCATTTCTTGGCACGCAAGTAGGAAGCTTCTCATGCGGGACAGGCATCACGAGGCGTGCTCAAAACCTGTGATGCTCTTGCATGCATCAGACGCCATTTGCGTGATCCGAAATATGCATGACAAGTCTCAGAATCTTCCAGACCCAGACATTTTTACATTTGATAGCAGGAGAATGAGAAAAATTTCATGAAAATCGCAAAGAAGATCCGCGACATTGGGAAATTGGAACTGCATATCAAAAGAAAAAAGTTCGTCACGATCACTCATGGGCATTTTTGCAATACAAAATTGTCTGTCATGCGTAAAAATGCATCACAGCCACACTTCATAAGGGATTTCTCTAGTGTTTCTGTTCTGCAATACAAGGAGAAGTTGTGATGCTAAAAAAATTTGTAATGCAAAGCCTGCAACTAAGTGACTGTGACAAACTTTTTTCTCTCAATACTGCAAGCGCATGTCGAGGCAAACCAGCAACAGAAATTGCAGCAGAAGGCAGAGTTGTTGAACGAAATCGCCGAAGTGAAAGTCGATCGGAGTTTTTGGAGCAAATTCGACGACGTATTGGTTTTTTCGTGTTTGATATGCATATGATGACGATGTATTGATGCACCATTATTTGTAGTTTTTGCTTTTGGCATGATCAAGATCACGTCTGGCTGTCGCTTAGTCTCAATCCAACCTTTAAATCCGTTAAAATTAAATAAAAACAGATCTGGGCCCTCCTTCCACCAAAAGCGCAGCAGCGGATCGAGTTTCGCAAGGCACAGGCCGACGCCGAGGAGAGAAGGAAACAAGAGGAGAAAGAAGAACGAAAACAGCGCAGCCTGAACCACGTTGAAGAAGATGTCAGGAGAGCACCAGTACAGTTCATAATTTTGGTTCTTGCATATCAACATGATGAGGAGAACACATCACTAGTACTTGCATCAACATTTCAACAGAATGTTGACATGTCGCACCTCTGGTCGTGCTAGTTCGACTTTGACCCCAACATGCTATAATCTTCATACACAATTACTTGACCAACTACAGGAACTCAACTTCGTGGTTCGTCACGAGCGGCCGGTGACCGACATGTGCTACGACGAGCAGATATGGAAGCGTCAGGTTTGAAATCGTCAAAGTCGAAATAGTTTGCCATGCATAGAATGCAGCCCTCAAAGTGCCTGTCGTGCAGAGTAGGCAAGTAAGGCAGGTTGTAAGCCTCTTGAGGGGTAGAAACTGAGCTGCTAAAGTAGCATGACAAAAGGCGTCTTTCTTACCCAAACAGCATGACAAACTGGATTCCGGCTCTACCTAAATTTGTCATGCGCCACTTAGAAACTGGTTCACAACTTTCATCCATTTTGTGCATTACAAGTTTTTTCAACTTTGTCGATTTCAATCCTGACACATCCATAGCAAACCGGCTTTCTCTATTCCAGTTCCAAGGACAAGGCGGTCGTCCGGTGGGACGTGCATATCCAAGAAAAAAACGTTGTTAGTGTAAGTTTGTGATGCGGAACATGCAAGATGATTGCCTCTGTCATGCTTGGCATGCGTTGTAGGGTCCACTAGAGGGCGTTTTCACGTGCTATCTGCGCATGACAGGTTTTTGCTGTCATTCCAGAGAGATTTGTAATGTTGTTCCTCCAAAAAACTTACACCTACAATTTTTTTTTCTTGGATAGTGCAGGGGCACAAGATAGTAGCGCACACGACCCTGTGTGGGCACGAGGGCGCGGTCTGGTGCGTCGACGTGCACCGGGGGGAGGTGGTAACCGGTGGCGCGGACGGGCTCTTGATCTTCTGGTCCGCAGACCCAAATGCCGGCCGGGGAAAGAAGGAGAAGGTACCTACATACTTCGTGAAAAGTAGATTTTTCGTAACATATTACGCGGTGCGAAAGCGCTTGCTTACCTTGACGTACGCAAACACTTTTTGAATTTGCCATGTAGATGTACAAGAAATATGTTATTATACACGGTTTTACATCAAGCGACAACCAACCTCAAATGAAAACAGATCCAGCAGCCGCACAAGGTCCAGAACTATGGCGGGATTATCAAAGGGCTCCGGGTGCATGACGCGGGGATTTGCCTTTACACCGACAAATTCGGCCCGAAAAACCCGGCGCACATCGCCTGCCTTTCCCGTGACGACCCCACGCAGGTGATCTGGAAGACCACGGACATTATCAAATGCAAATATGTCTGGGTCTTGAACGTCACAACTTGTGATGCTGTCTGTGGATTCTAAAAAAATTTGTATTGCATGACCAGCAAGAGGGGTCGGGTTTGTCCTACGTCGAGAGGGCATTTCTCATGCGGTAGAGGTATCACAAAGCCCCCTAAAAATCTGTGATGCTACGGCATGCATCACAGAAATCATGGCTCATGGAAAATATGCATGACAAATCGAGAAATCTTGCACCAGACCCAGACACTTTTGCATTTGATAGACATCCACTGCAAGATTAACCAGCTGATCTGGGGTCCGGTGGGGCAGCCAAAAATCTTTACCGCGCACGACGACGGTAATTTGAACATCTGGGCCGGAGCGGGCGACGGCGAGGGCGGCGGAAAGTTGATGAAGAGCGTGACGACGCTGCATGACAAGGCGATCATATCGATGAACACGCACAAGAACTTCATCTTAACAGCCTCCAGCGACATGACGGTGAAGGCAATAAATTCCGGATCCAAGGACCTCCCGGTTTGCTTTCACGCCAAGGCGAATAGGCCACTCAGAGCAGTAGCGGCATGGGACTTCCCAGAGGAGAAATGTGAAAAAATTTTTCAAAATGCTTATGCATTGCAAAAGTGCCGCTCTTATCGTAAGCGGACTATGAGTAGAAATCGCAATACAAACTTTCCCAAAAAGAGTAAGAGATGAAGAAATGCATATTTTCCATGCTTTTTTCCTTCAGATCATCGATCTGTTATGCATGAAAAGCACACGAATCCAAAACCACCAGGTTTCGCCTTCGTCTACGGGGGTGGCCGGGATCCGAAGGACGTGACAACTTCCTACCTTCTACCGGATGAGTTCGACTTTTACCAGTCCTACCTCGGCGAGTCGCAGTCCACCATTATGACCAAAAACGGGTCGGCCGGGCCGCTGCACCGGCTGATTTGGGTGATATGGATTGCAAAAATGTCTGGGTCTGGAAGATTGCAACTTGTAATGCTGTCTTTGGATTCCACCAAAAAAATCTGTATTGCATGACCAGCAACAGGACTCCAGTTTGTGTTACGCGGACGAGAGGGCATTTCTCATGCGGAATAGGCATTAGGAAGCCCTCTAAAAATCTGTGTTGCTAGATCATGAATTAGAGGCATCAATCATCATACAAAATATGCATGACAAGTTTGCATTCTTTCAGACCCAGAAATTCAAATTTTTGCATTTGATAGGTGAACCCGCTGAACAAGGTTTTTGCGGCTAGCGAAGATGGTGAAGTGAAGATGTGGGATATCCACAGAAAAAAACCCATCCACATCCAATTTGTCGTGCAAAACACGTATCAAATCATGTGTTTGTCATGCAAAAACTGGATGTGGATGGGTTTTTTTCTGTGGATATGGGACGCAGAAACGCTACACCAGATGAGATGATAGGAGAACCCGAGATGAATCTGATGTTCTTCCAAGTTCTGTGCCGCGCCGATGTAGTTCTTGCCGACGGGCGATTGGGTGGGTTGCTATGCAGTTTTTACGTACTCAAGCAGCCTGCTGACCTTCATTTTCCGCCTTCTGGAGTTTAGTGAATGACGGTTCATACTGCGCATTCGTGTGGTAACAGGGACGAGGCTATGAAGATGCAAGAAGACAAACGCTGCTGACATAAGCAGGATGGCAATGGATCCAATATCGGCCAACTACATCGAGTAGACTTGTTCCTTTTCAAAACTTTTTCAAGATACATGACAGCGCCCGTCATGTATTTCAAAGGCTTTTCTAAGTTGAGCCGATTCATCATCGGCTTCAAGTAGTTTGGTTTCCATCATCGACTACTGATATGGAAGAAGTTGCACACATGCAATCGCGCCGCGCGCCCGCGCGTCACCTTTTTCATCAAGGACAAGTTTTTATACGCAGAACAAAAATCGACACTTCTTTATCAACTGTTCAACATTCCACTTCATCTGAAAAGGAGAAACCTCCGCCTCCGTGGGAGACCGCGAGGCAGGGAACTTTTACACAGATTAAAATGACAACAGAAATCTTCGATGAAAGCAAGCAAGCGGGGAAGCAAACGCATAGTAAAATCGTGGCGTTGATACGTCACAAAAGCCAAAGCACTCAAATCCAAATGCGCAGAATGAAGAAGATTCTGCATTTCGTTCGCGAAGATGCGGGGGCACTTGTGTTGCGCCGTTGTTCTCTCTGGAAAGAAGATTAAGTTTTTTTTTCAGTGTTCCGCCCGCGGATGAAGATCAAGATGCCACTTGTTGTCCCAGACCGCAGAAGAGTTGCGACCGGACACAGGCGACGCGCCTCGCACCTGGAAGGGTGGGGCCGCGCAAGCAAGAGGCACCCGCCCCGCCCTTCGCCGGCTGTGAGGTGATGGCCTTGCCCAACGTAGCGCGCCGCCCGGAATAATGAACGGAACGCGCGGCGCCATAGCGCCTGCCGCGATTTCTCCCCCGGGCCGGGCGGAGCGGCGGCCCCCCTGGCGTCGCCGCCGCGCGCTCTGTGCTGCTTGTCGCGCGCTTGCGCCCGTAGGGGGGCCGAACAAGGGGGGGCGCCTGGTCTTTGGCAGGACCGGTCTCGCGTCGCCTTGCCGCCGGCGGCCGGCGGCAAGGCGACGCCAGACCGGAAGGCCGGCGGCCTTCCCCCGGGCGCGCGCCACCGCCCGGCGCGAGGGAGGTGGGGGGTGGGGGAAGGCAGGGGGCCCGCAATTATGCAGGCCGGCGCCCGGGGCTTTGAGGAAGGTAGAAAGGGGGAAAGTATCGGCCCGGTGTTTTGTTCGCGCAGTATTGCGCAAGCACAAGCGCAACAGGGCCACCGGGCGCGCCCCCAAGGACGTCAGCAAGCGTCGCCCTGCCTCCAGGCATTGGCCCCCCCCCCGTGGGTGGCCCATGTTGGTCTCGCCGAGAAACGCGAACGGCCAGCCCCCGGGAGAAGGCAAAGGCGTTCGCCGCGCTCCTGTTCAAGCTAGGCGGGGCCTTGGGTGTTTGTTCGGTGTTTTGGTGGGTGGCTCTCTGTAACAGGCAGGGGCGCATTTGGGCTCCGCCCGGGACCGGGGCCCCGGGCTCTTCAAGAGCCTTGGTCTTGGTCTTGTGGGCAGACCACCACCGGCCCGAGGAGCCCACTGGGCAGGGGGGCAGCCGAGGTCGGGCATGTTGCCCGACTTCCACAGGGCCGCCAACGACGAGAACAAGGGCAGCAAGCCACCGCCCGGCGCGAGGGGACGGAGGCAGCAAGTGGCAGGCGGGGGACGGCAGGAGGCCCGCAGCCATGGAAGTGGCTGCCTGAATGTGTGTGGCCGCTCGGCTTGCCGGGTGCCTTCCCTACCTGCAAGCAGGAAGGCTAGCGGGCCCAGGTCGCCCGCGTAGGATTTCCGCCAAGATCAGGGGGCGGGGGCTCCCTTTCAGCAAGGAACCGCCGCGCGGCGGCAGTTCGCTTCGGGCGGCCCAGCCGCTGTGGCCCGAGACATTCTTTGAGGGGGTGCCGCATGTGGTCGCCAGGGATCCATCAGCGGCGCAAGGTCCCGCGTGGTTTTCGTCTGGGGCTTCGGTGTCAGCGGCAATGTTCTGGGCAGCAACTCGGTCACGCGCACGGACTCCCGGCGAGCATCTCGGGCGGGCATCTCGGTGATGGCAGCCGGGCTCCCTTGTTCCGATGTGGACTTGGCTCAGCGGCACGACCGCACGACAGTGACAGAATTTCTGGCGAAGTGCCTGAAGGAAGCGCGCGAAGAGTGCCCGGCGTGGAAGAGCTCACACCATTACACCAAGGCCGGCAAAGCGGAGCGGGCGGGGCAGGGAGGGGGGCGCGGGCGTATCTGCGACGCGTACACTGCGCGCGCCCGTGTCCGTCGCCGGTCCGGAAAGCCATGGACGCACCCCCTCGAGCGGCGGCCCTGGTGAAAGTGCCAAATCGGCGCGCCGGGGGTGGGCTTACACGCATGGAGAGGCCCTCTGTGCGCCCGGTCCGGTGTGGGCCTGTGGATTGTGTGGCCGCGGCGCGCGTGTGTTTGTTTGCCCGCCGGCCTCCTCTGTTGCATGCATGCGCTTGCGCCCTTTCGGGCCGCGGGACCGCCGGGCGCCTGCGTGGCTGGGTGTGTGCGCCGGCGCGAAAAGGGGCACTCAGACGAAACGGAGCCAAGAAAAAAACCGAAGCGCCCCCAGTCCTATTGCCCGTGGCCGCCTTCCTTGCCAGCCAACCATAGTCGGTTGCTCTGTGTTGGGAAAATTGGGCACGCAGCTGCTGTTGTTGGGGATGTTGAGTTCGTTTTTTTCTTTTTCCCAAGTACAAACAGAGAAACAATGTTTGAACCTGCGACCAATGGATCATAATCTGAAGAGCGAGAAATTCTACGTGGACTACGCCCGATGTCGGGAATGCAAAATAGAGAGCTCGAATCAAAAGAAAGTGTTAGTTTGTGTTGACAATACAAATGATGAAGCACATCACACCGCCATAATTGGTGCTGGTGCTGTCGTTTTTGGTCTTAATTTTTTTCAACAACACCTCATCCGTGTTTGCAGGCACAGGCACGACACAGGAATGATTTCGGGACATCTGTATATTTGTTCGAAACAAGTTGTGTAGTTGGAAGGAGTCCAAAAACAACGATGATGTCCGCCACCGTGAACAAAGCTGCTGCACCCAACAAGCTCGAGCACGAGGCCTTGGAGGACCACCGACCTGCGGCCAAAGTACTACTAATTTCATCCCCGCAACAAGAGAAATATCACGAAGTCGAAGTCCGCCGTTCTCTTTGGGAAAGCAGTCTCGTGAAAGACGCCGGCGCGGCTTCGTCTGAGGTGAAAACCCAGTTCCGCCGGCCAGGCCACGAGGACTTCGTGATCCGGCAACTGCGAAGTGGCAGAACCGGAATTCGGGTGTGGCCGTCAGCAATACAGCTCCTGAACCACAGCGAGGAGTTGTTGCACGTTCATCTTCCTTCGAGGACATCTTCCGACGCTGACGCAACATTCGGCCAGAATTTGAAAGATCATCACCGAGGAATAAAGCGCGTCGCCCTGGAGCTCGGTTCTGGAGTCGGTGTTGTTGCCGTCGGCCTCAGTCGCCAGAGCTGGAACGTCATCGCGACAGACCACGATTCCGCGACACTGAAGAATCTCCGGTACAACATTCAGACGAACCGCTGCCGTGGCGGCGCGAACGCAGTGGAGGTCCGGAAACTCGACTGGTGGGCGATCGAAAAGGCGAGAAGTGCAGTGCTACAACTTTCTTCAGGCTCTCCTGATTGCGTACCCAATTGTAGTGCTGAGGCGGATCATGCAGGAAGTACGCCGGATGGGGCAGTCGCAGTCTCAGTCACTGTGAAATCCAGTTCCAGTCTCGGCGCAGCAGAAAAATCTTTTCCGCAACAGCAAAAGGACCACGACGGCAAAGCTATTGCGCATCTCGAGGACGATTTTCTGGTTGCGAATTGGCTCCGCGACGACTTGTCGGAGTGTTCTTCGGAGGACACTGCTGAAAACACGACAGAGAAATCATCTCCCACGAATGACGCGCGCTCAACAGTAGAACGGACAATCAGCGCGAGAAGTTTGCTGACGACCTGTGCGTCTCTGTCGAGCATCGACGACTCCGCGTTGAATACAATCAGAAATGCCGACTTCAGTGTCGGTGGTCCGTCACCCTCTACAAAAACCACATCCATGGCAATTATTAAACCACTGCTGGTGGATCATCCGGAAATAAACGACAAGACCCTACAGGACCTCGAAAAACTCGCGAACGAGGTCGATTGCGTTGTGGGGTCAGATTTGCTCTACGAGGACACTTGCAAACCGCTACGAGCGGTGATCCACAGCCTGCTGGATTTCAAGGAGAATTTGTCCATGTTTTTCGTTTTCCAGGAACGAACGGAGGGCCGGGTTTTGGAATTTGCGGAAAGCTTGAAACGATGGACAAGTACAAGAACGCGGGAGAAGAGCCTGTGTGATGTGGAGGTCGAGCCTGCAGCCGGGATTGTCCTGGAGGAGAAAGAAGTGGAGGTTTTGTGCGGACCGATAACGGAGGGCAGTGACTGCTGGAAGATTCTTGTGAACCCTAAAATGTGATAGTTTTTCTTCTGATGAAAATCATGGAGGCAGCTACTCAAAAAAGAAAAAGCCTGACGAGCTGCTTTTTTTGTGACGAGCGAAGATGAACCTGCTTCTCGAGTTTGTGATTGTGTAGAATTCTATAGCTGTGTACAGTTTGCATCTGTTGATGAAAATGTTTAGCACATATTTGATACCAGCTGGTCGTGTTTCGAGTTGTTGAATATTGCTATGTTTCTGTCAATTTTTACGAATTGCTATACACACATAGTTTCTTCCAGCTACTTACTAAGTTTCAGTTTGCATGATAAAAAGCGAAAACACTTTGAAACCGAGATGGCAAACGAATTTGGTTGTGCTGTTTCAGGAAAAAAATACGGAATACAACAAGGAGCGAAAGATTGACTCTTCTTGCTCTTGGGGGTACGTACGATTGATTTCAGCGACTACTAGAAAAATGCGACAAATAAAAAAAGCGAAACCGCAACCACCTATACTGTGTTTTAATCAAAAGTGAAAAAGTTCTCATTTGGTGAGGATGACGTGAATCCGAAATCACGAGCTACTCCTTCGTCCGCCTGGGGATAGTTGCAGTTTTCAGAGTGTGTTGCGCAAAAAAAGTAATTCTCATTCTCCAAAGCTCACAGACAGGGTCGTGCGTCGTAGACGTTATTTCCGATATTGATCATAGTCCATAACTCAAGAAAAAGCGAAGAAAAACGCCCTCGAATATACTTATTAATTTTCTTTTCGTCAGACAGAGTACTAACACTAAGGGTCACGGTGGTATTAAGCCTGCTGACATATCAGGCATAGAGACCTCAAGGAGATCATTCTGCGTAGCTAGTACAACCGGATGAACCACCTAAACGACCTTGACGTCCAAGCAAAGCCAAGAAGACTCGTCAAAAATGATTCTAGTTCTCAACAAAGATGTCCGCGGCCAACTAGAAACTCATGCTCAATTATCCTCTGTACCTGTAGCGACCGTAACTACAACGACGTTTTTTTCATCGGTAGGTTTCAACTTGTTTCTCAGAACCGAAAAACAGCATAAAAAACGACCCTTAAAACATGAGCGGCCACATCGTACGCGCACAGCATTCGAAGGAGTCCTCGCACAGCGCCCGTGAGGAGCGCCGCCGGCAGCTGGAGTTGGTGCGGCAGGCGAAGGTATCAAATGTAAAAATGTCTGGGTCTGGAAGATTGCCAGGTTTGTCATGCACGTTTTGCATGACTCCTGATGTCTGTGATGCATGCCCTAGCATCACAGATTTTGTGAGGGCCTCCTGATGCCTATACCGCATGACAAATGCTCTTTCCGTGTAGCAAAACTTGGACTCTCTTTGCTGCTCATGCAATACAGATTTTTTTACAATCCTAAATCAGCATGACAAGTTGGATTCTTCCAGACCCAGACACTTTTACAGTTGATACAAGGGCATTTTGGAAGCCAGGGAGAACGAATTGATGTTATCTTCGTCTGAAGACAGTTCCGTATCCTGTGCAAAAGTCTCGTACTCGTAGTAATCCTAATCGCAGTCATGCATTACAAATTTCTTGCTCAAGTGAAATCCGCATTACAAATTTTATTTCTCATGCCGAGGAAATTTGTCATGCGATTTATACTAGTACGATGCTTTTGCATTTCATATTCCGGTGGAAACAACAAAAATATTAAAACAAATAGCAGCAGCAGGAACAGGAACAAAGAGCCGCCCACATCCAAATCCAAGTCCCCGAAAGCACGCCCAGCCGCGCCGCCCGACACCTGGGGCCCGGTGCGCAGTCGCGTTTCGGGCAGGATGGGGAGCAAGGAGCGGGTCGGTCTGCGGGATCGTGATCGAGGACCACGTGATGCAGGTCCGCCAACTGCTTTGACGTCGCGGGGTGCAGCTGCCGGAAGACGGCGATCGCGCTCGCGGTCCAGGGGCGACCGGAATGTTGACACGAGACGGAGTAGAAACTACCTTTCGACGCGGCCTGCAGAGGTTCCTAGAAGAGGAGGTCCAGCACGTGGTCCACCTGAGCGGACGACCAGGACCAGCCGCGAGCGGGGGAGAAATAAAGACTCCGGTCGCGGAGCTGCTCCACCGCCGGCGAAGAATGCCCCGCGGAGGTCGAGGTCCCGGTCGAAGAGAGGGCGGGATGGCCAAAATGGCCAAGATGACCGTCGTGATGAACCACGACGCGCAGCAGGTGGAACGGAAAAAAGAGACCCGGCCAAAAAGAAAGACCTACCGGAGATAGAAAGACCGGGTACAACAACGACCGTCGACGGACGGAGGAAGGGAGGGAGAAAGAGGAGCTCCAGTTCCGAGCAACGGGCAGTGAATAAAGTTAAAGACTCCCGGAAGCAGGACGAGAATAAAGTTGTGAGGAACCGTGGTAAAGGTGAACAAGAGCCACCGCTCTCTCCTCCTCGCCGACCAGATACAACAACACGAGCTGGCGACCACCTATCCTTTGCAAAAGTACCGTACAACTCGTATAAATGCAAGTCTTGCATTACAAATATTTTTCTTAAAGTAAATCAGCATGACAAATTTCATTTCTACTCATGCTGAGAAAATTTGAATTTCTAATGCTTTTCAACGAGTACGATACTTTTGCAGTTCATACCACCGGGACGAGCAGCGCAAAACCCAGAAGGAAGCTACCCGACGACAAGTCGTGTCGTCTCGCGATCGGGCACAACAAACTCGAGGCAAACAAGACAGCAAGCGGGATATAATTACTGGGCGAAATAAGCCTGATGGTGTGCAACGGGACGAACGCGCCAGGACGGAAAAAGATAGAGGCAAGGAGAAGGGCACAATCGAAAGAGCAAGTGGGCGAGTAGATCACGGAGCAGAAGATGTTGTCAGGCGTGCTGCCCGGTCCCGTAGTCCCATTTCCCGTCGTGATGTTGCAAAAGGGAAAGACACCAGAGCATCTCAGCGTCGACGTGCAGATGATGAAAACAACAACAACAAGGCTCGTGTTGACAACAAGACAGCCACGACTGAAAATGAAAATCGAGATCCACCGCAGCGAAATAGAAGAAGCCCAGTGAAACCATCACCAGAGGAGGAACAACTTGACAACAAGAAAAACTATGAATTGCAAAAGTATCGTACTCGTATACATGCATTACAAATTTCCTCAGCATGAGAAATAAAATTTGTAAATGCTGATTTACTCTAAGAAAAAGATTTGTGATGCATGACTGCAATTACTACGAGTACGATACTTTTGCGCAGGATAAAAACAAAACCACTACGACCGGGAGCCGTCGCATGGACGACAAGATCGCTGCGAAAATTGCGATATGCATTGCAAAAGTATCGTACTCGTAGTTGTAATTGCAGTCATGCATCATGACAAATCTGGTTCCTTAGCTCATTCAGAATAGCAAATTCCATTTTGCCTTCTGGCAAAATTTGTAATGCTATCTCTACTAGTACGATAGTTTTGCAATGCAAATGCGACCAAGAAGCAGCAAGAGAGCAGCTCTTCCTCAGATGAATCGTCGTCGTCGGACTCGGAGGATAATTCCTCATATCCACAGAAAAAAAACCATCCACATCAAATTTGTCATGCCAAACACGCATAAAGTCCACTATTTGTCATGCAAAAAATGGATGGGGGTGCGATGGATGTTTTTTCGTGGATTCCCTAAGCTCCTCCTCTCCAAGCGCACGGAGGACCAAGCAGAAGAAAGAACCAGCTAGCGTAGACGAGCAGAACGGGAACAAGAAGGATGCCAAGATGAGGGCCGCTGACGGGTCAGCGAGGAACAACAACAGTAGAAACAACAGGGAACAACGGCAAGTTGCTGGTGCAAAGACGACTGTCCGGCGCGAGAATTTATCCGAAAATAAGCCAAGACCGAGAAAAGACGAAACGCGAGAGGACGAAAACAATGCTCTTTACAGCCGAGGACGTCGTGGTCGACGTTCCAGCAGCCGTGACCGCAAGAACACAAGAAATAAAGTTCTTGCGCCGACGTCCTCTCTGCAAATCAAGGCGAATCATGATGATCCACCGCGCGAGGAGGTGGGTGACGCACCACGTCAAAACGACACCGTTCTTAACCAGCAGAATATCAAGAAGGCCGACCTTCGACGTCCACGCCGAAGTAGGAATCAGTCACGCTCCCGCAGCCGCGAGCGACAAAGCGACAAGGTTGATGTTGTGCTAGCGAAAAGGACAACAACTGCTGGAGCTACGATTAGCCTGAAACCAGCTGCAGCTGCGGGAAAAGACGAGGTCGTCCATCAGCAGCGCCGGAGAATTTCGAATTCTAGGGCTCGGAGGAGCGTGGATTGGCGTTTCGCGGAGGAGGATCATGCTAGTAACAGGATAGTTGTAGCAGGGGACGACGATCGCAGGAACTACAACCGCAGAACAAGTGACAGGGAAGTAGAGCGTGCAGGACTCCAACATGTCGAATTGAAAAGACCTGGCTCCACTACCGGAGCCGTTGATCTTCGAAAGAAGAATCCAACAACACAACTGATTTCAAAACGGGAGGAACTACAACTACGTCGAGATGATGGTCACGAGTCTGTGATCGTGCTCCGCTCGAAAAAAAGTGCGGAAAGGGACCCCATCTCCACGAAAAAAAATGCAGGAAAGTTAGTTCCTGCAAGCAGTGCGAGTGCGGCTGTGGTCCTCCTCCCCCGGAGTAAATCCAATCCCCCGCCAAGCCCGAGCTTGTTCAATAGTCGTGGTGATTTTGATCCCCCGTCAAGGACACCAGCAGCTAAGATAAAGAAGCCGAAGCTGGTTGCGCGGAAAGATGTTGCTGCGGTGCGGGAGAATGAAACTGAGAGCAGAAACAAACCATCGCTGATTCTAAAGCAATGGTCGAAGGACTCGCGCGACTGGGAAGAAAATGAGTGGCAGAAGCCGGATAGCCCTCGAGGTGGCCCACGGCAGAAGCCTGACCACAGTCTTGATGCTGTTCCACCACCCGGAGAGCAGCTTTTTTCTGTGAAAATTAGCAATATCACGCAGCATGTCACCGACTTCGGGATCGAGCGGGTGTTTTCCCAGTTTGGGAAGGTCAGAGACGTTTACATCCCGAAGGTTTTCAAAACGGGCCGGAACAAATCCTTCGCGTTTGTCCGCTTTGCAAAGAAGAAAGAGGCGGAGAAAGCGGTGCGACAAACCGGGACCGTGGTGTTGGACAATGTGAAAGTGGATCTCTGTGTCGCGAAATTCGGCAGGCAGGATGGGACGGTGAACGATGTAGTTCCAGGCGAAGAGTACGACTATGGTGCAGGAGCTCCCCCAGAATCCTGGCAGCAGCAGGAAGGGTATTGGGAGGACGAGGATTGGGACGATGATGAAATGGAGTACTCCCAGATACTTAATTAGCGGCCCTTTCATAAGTCCGGACATTTCACTCCTTGCCACATACCAAAGATTTTAAATATATAAATCGGAACGTGTCCAGGAGCTGCGTCTGCAGCTACTCGCTCTTGTGCAGCAGGCGCGCTTCCTTTAGTTCCGTACAACAAAAGAAGCAAGAGGCTTGTTCACAAGGAGCCTACGCTTTATCAGTGGCGTAGGCTTCTGAAGCAGCTTGCACAGGGAAATAACGCGACAGAAGAAGTAGAAACAGCCAGCCAAAAAAAGCTCTCGACAGCTTGGAAACTTTAGTCCCCGTCGGCTGCCACCCAATGCAGTGCGCCGGGCGGCTTTGGTGTTTGTGTTTCCGTATAATAAACCACGCAAGTGTGTTGCGCATTTGCGACGCCTGTTCCTTTGTCTATCGGCGCCGCATCTGCAACACCTTGCACAGTGTAGGCATCAGGAATACACAAACACGCCAAAACAAGAAGACTGATAGTCCGCACATTTCTACAGGCTGTTACTGTGTAGGCGCGCGCAGTGTAGTAAGTAAGCGGGCAGCTCTCGTTCTGGACCTGGATGCGCCACGCTGCGCTGTACTGACTCACTACTCAGGTGAGCGCTTCGGAGTGTTACGCGGGGACCGCTGCTCTGCGGGGGGACTGCTGGATGGAAGCCTAGGAGAAAAATTTGCGCGGGGAGTATTGGGGCATGAATTTCGAGTAAGCAGCCCTCTGAAACGCACCAAAGCAGTGCGCGCGTACCTAAACGTAGAAAATAGGTGGACAAGCAGCGTAGATAGGTTGCAATGCTCGGGGGCTCGCTGGATATATTGGCACTGTAGGCAAAATAAAAAAAGCCCGGGTAGGAAAAATGCATTTTGCGTTTTTTCCTACCCGGGGTTTTTATTTTCAAAACCCCGGGTAGGAAATATTTATCCGCTGCTCTGCACGTCTGTGAGGGTGATAACAGCTGATAAATATTTCCTACCCGGGGTTTTGAAAATAAAAACCCCGGGTAGAAAAAGTTCAAAACTCATATTTCCTACCCGGGCTTTTTATTTTCAAAACCTCGTATAGCCCCTCCGAAATCTGGGCGGCGCGGCAGCGCCGCGAAAATTTTTTTTTTGGATCGTGGAGAGCTACGTGAGGTTTTGAAAACCAAAACCTCGTATAGCCCCCTCGAAATTTGGGCGGCGCGGCAGCGCCGCGAAGATTTTTTTTTTTGTTCGCGGAGGGCTATGTAAGGTTTTGAAAACCAAAACCTCGTATTGCCTCCTCGAAATTTGGGCGGCGCGGCAGCGCCGCGAAGAATTTTTTTTTGGTTCGCGCATAGCTATGTGAGGTTTTGAAAATCAAAACCTCGTATAGCCCCCTCGAAATTTGGGCGGCGTAGCAGCGCCACGAAAAGTATATTTCCTACCCGGGCTTTTTATTTTCAAAACCTCGCATAGCCCCTTCAAAATCTGGGCGGCGCGGCAGCGCCGCGAATATTTTTTTTGGTTCGCGGATGGCTATGTGAGGTTTTGAAAGCCAAAACCTCGCATAGCCCCCTCAAAATTTGGGCGGCGCGGCAGCGCCGTGAAGAAAGTTTTTTGGTTCGCGGAGGGCTATGTAAGGTTTTGGAAACCAAAACCTTGGATACCCCCCTCAAAATTTGGGCGGCGCGGCAGCGCCACGAAGAAGTTTTCTTGTTTTGGTTCGCGGAGGGCTATGTCAGGTTCCGAAAACCAAAACCCCTTTTAGGGCTCAGGGGGTCGCATCGGGTAAGTCGCGCCAACGTGCGGGCGCAGGGGCTGCAGCGCTGCATTTGGTTTCTACCGTGACCGTCAGTGGTGTGGGCCAGAATGTGAAAAGTCATTTGACCTATGACCCTTATGCAAGGGCCGCTAATTACGTCATACAGAGTACGCTGACTGGGACGAATCGGAGATGCGCCGGTGGAGGACTCGGACACGGAGGGATATCCAAAGCAAAAGTATCGTTACTAAGTACAAACTGCATCAGAAATTTCATTCCCAACCAGAGCAAAAACGCAACTCGTCATGCTAGTTCAGGTAGAAGTAGCTTTTAGCTTAGGACTGTCATGCGTAAGTGCAATTACTACGACTACGATCGATGCTTTTGCAATGCATAATTGAACGCAGGGAACGAAAGGCCTTGAGGGAACAGACGGAAAGTGAGGAAGTATGGGGCACAAAGAACAAGAAATCGAAGCCGCTGAAGAACAACGCCGCGCAGCGGAATAATAAAAAAGGAGCGCGGAATAACATTCCCCCGGGCGCGCAGACATGCATTGCAAAAGTATCGTACTCGTACAGCAGTCATGCATTACAAATCTTTTTCTTTAGGTAGATTCGCACTATAAATTTTATTTCTCATGCTGAGGAAATTTGTAATGCATTCATACGAGTGCGAGACTTTTGCAGTTCATAGCAGAATTACAGTGACAATGAGGAATTTGCGGAGGAGCAGGTGAAGCGCGAGAGGAGGGAGAAAAGGTTTGGCGCGCCGGGTGCTGCTGTTGTGGATATAACAGCGAAATATGTTGGACGAAACACCAATCGTCCTCCCGCCGCGTCGTCCTCTTCCGGGAGTCGGGGTGAGAACCAGAATTACAGTCGGGAAGATGAGATGAATCCACAGCAGTCAATCCCGTCACACGATGAGAATGACGAGGACGAAGGGTTTATTTCAAACTTCGATGACCACCTGCCTCCAAGCGATCTACCGCTTGCCTACTAGAAGGAACAAGTATTCGCTCGTATGAATAAGAATCAGAATGTACATACTAGTACAACTAGCGATTTGAAGATGTGAAAAACTTCCTAGCGACACGGCCTTACAACTTCATCAGGAACCGAACGACAAGCACGTGCTCGAACATGTGTTGGAATTTGATTTGCAACAACCAAACAAAAAGGGCGCCCGCATCTGTAAAACGCGTATTTGGTAGTTTTGAAAAAATCACATCCAGAAGCTGCGAGGGCAAACTCGCTTGCAGCGGTGTTTTGCTGCAGTCACGTTTTTTGTTCGTGTCTTGAAGTCCATGAGATACCGTCTCACATTTTTGAACGCAATATGAAAAAGTCAATGCGTTAATGGTACTTCTTACGGTCCATGGTTGGTGTGCTGCATCGGCACCGAGACAGAATAGTTTTGTCAAAAACGAAGATCCATCTGGCACATCAAGCCGTGTTGAACGTGAAGTAGAGGTCAACATTTCGAGCTGATCCTGGTCCTCCGTGGCACAACCTCCTGTGCCTAAAGATGCTCCGCCTGCACCTTTTTGCTTTGCGGTGCTACTGCTGAAGAACATAATTTCGTTGAATTTTTGCAGCAAACTCTCGAACTTTTCGATTTTTTTTTTGCGGCGTACATAGCACGCCGACCGGTAGTACTACTACAAAAAGGGATGAATAACTTATGCCCGAAGAGGCTTAGCATAGTCCATCCCTCGCACTGCTGTTGCGTCAGCAGATGCGGCGACAGGCGTGGCGTTCGCGGGGACCTCATGGCGAGGCTAGTTAGTTTTGCATGGCGGTCTGCGTGACTGCATCGCCGTGGCCGCCACCATAGGCCTGCTCGTGTAGTACATTCCGCGTAGCGCCCACCTTCGACGACCTACAAATATTCGTAGCGCGGAAGCCCACTGTGCGGATCAGTGGCACTAGTAGCGCCTTAGACACCTCGGCCAAAAAA